ATCCCTAAATCAGTAAGAGAATTACATCGGACTCCGTATATAGAGTTACAGTTGGGCTCATGGTGGATAACGCCCAGACATTGTTGGGAGACAGAAAGTCTGAAGAGAATGGCGTTAGTCGTAAGTTAGAAATATATACGTCGCTTGAGACAGAACCCAATAATAGATCAACAAGAAGGGGAGAGTTACCGAACTTTTTTCCCGATAATTTTCCAATCATAATATTCATGAGTACTGGGACGGATATAGGATTAACGAATCAAAACGATGGGTTGAAACAGGTGATCAGGATCAGGCCAGGCCCGAACCATATAAAAAGATAGGTTTGGCACTGAGCGAGTGGTGCGTGCTTTTAAGTGACCGAAGCCAGTCCACGTCACTCAGTTGCCTGTGGGGTACGAGCCTATCCTGTCTGTTGATGAAGTTGTAGTTAGAGATGGACTGAGACAGAGTAAAAACTATGTGAATATAAACTTGGTGTTGCGTTTATCTATGAATGTATGTGTGCCAGTACATGAATGTTATGAGGCTAGTTAGGAGTCACGGTCGTCTGACCCCTCACTCCTGTATGGTGTCCTATAATTGCCATCGCGTGGCGCGTAAAAAAAGAACTACGTCGTGGGCGACGTCGCCCACGACGTCGCATAAAAAAGACGACGTCGCCCACGACGTCGTGTAAGACGTCGTCCACGACGTCGCGCAGAAATACACAAGAGAGATCTACGACAAAAATACAAAATCGACGTCGTCCACGACGTCGAAGGCGACGTCGCCCACGACGTCGAGGTCGACGTCGCCCACGACGTCGCGGGCGACGTCGTGTTTAGAAATTGTTATATTGGAAAATCGGGGAATAACCTTTTGTGGTGCAGTTATACTGCTATTGATCTCTAATCACTGATTTCATGTTCAACATTACTACTTATTTAAGTAAACCAATCAAGGGTAAGCGCCAGAACACCTTAAGCAAAAAAATTATGTCAAATTTAGTTGATGCTTGATGTTGTGAAAACGGTGTTGTTTTTAAAGGATCAAAACACTGGTTTTCTACAAAATGTAAAATGTCTCCACTCAGGAAACGAAATATGACTTTTGTACCAGCGGGTTGACATGTGAACCAGCGGGTTTAGTGAGTGAGTTTAGTTCACTCAGTTCATTAGTAGTGAGTTATTCAATTTCTTACATAAACGTGCAAGCTATAAGAATGTTGGAATTGACAGTTTTCATCATCATTTCCACAAATTCAGTTATGGAAAATGCACAATAGATTTCTTTATACTTCTCGTGGTGGAACATACATATATGTAAATGGTTATATGTTTATTGTGAACAAGAAGAAAATGGGAAAATGGATCTCGTGGAGATGCATTCAGAACGACTGCATATCAGTCTTAACAGTGAACGACATAATTTCCCAAGTACCTGGAGACCACAACCACGGACCTGTACACAGCGAAGTCAAAGTGAATCTTTTCGACTGTACCAAAAATACTGACGGCCCCCGCACAAACAACAACCTCCGGGGTTGCAATTGGCATGGCCGTCTCATGAAGGTTGTGGTAAAACAACATCCCACCCTATTCGAGATGGCCAAGTTCCTGGAAGATGAACAAGGACTGAACGAGGCAAAGATGCTTCAGTACAATGCCGGCCAAAGACTGACCCCAAATAGAAGTACAGAGATTTGGAGGAACGACTAGATACCTTGAAGTTCAGGCTTGCAAATAACCACCCGACATTGATGGAGTACCTGGACAATGACAGACAGACAGTCACACAGGCTTTATTCAGTAGTTAAGGCCCAGTGGCCCAGAGTACAATTGAAGTTACTCAATTACAACTATTGGTCACGTGACATTAAATTATGATTTTACATGTGATTTACGGATGGACATCAAATGTTTCATGAAAATGGCAACAGATTTAATAATATCAGCATTATTAGAATTAAGTACATTGAATATCGTTTGTGGGGCATCATTAGTGCATTTTAAATACTTCTTTCGGCAGGCAGAGAAAGTCTTACAGACTAATAATAAGTGTCGTTCGTCTTCAGTTTTACCAGAAGAACAATAAGAACATGATAAATCTTCCAATATATTATTATCTTTTCTAAAACGTTGTATTTTTAAGGCATGAAGAGAGATTTTAAATTTACAAAAAATTCTTAAAAGGGACTTATCATTAAGAACACTGACATATTTTGCAGGTCCGAACATCGATTTACATTGTGAATAATGACTAAGAAAACTCGATGAATTGACTGATGCGTACCAACTGTGAATATATATCTTTTATTCGTTGTTTAAATGTTGACAAAACATTTTTATATCACCCACATTTTGCTTAAATCAAACATGAGAAAACTCGCTTGAAAATAACATATTTCTCACATCTGAAGCCCATGAATACTTTCCACATTTATCCAGTGATAACAATATTTGACAGCTTTGATAGGGGTAGCGATAATCAGGCATTCTTATAAGTTTAATCCAGTATCTAATAACTCTCATTTGACTCTCAATATGCATGTTATAGCATCCTGTTTCGCCAAGTATGGCTTTATTGGAAGCAAATATACCTTCTGTAAGAAATATTTTAAAATAAGATGCATGGACATTTTCAATGGCTTCGAAATAATTTGCTCCCCATGTTATATGGGAAATTATGACATGATTATATATGTTAAAAGAAATATACTAAATGACAACCTTTTGTAATATGTTATAAAGGATCAAAGAAAGTATACATTTACACAAACACACATTCTTATGTGTTTTCATTGTATTCTAAACCGTAAACAACACCAGCCCAAATCCGATAGCCAGCGCGTATGCATATGCTTAAATTTGCTAGTACACATGAAAGGCAAAATGGTATTATATCTACTAGTACCTAAATACTTCTTTATAGAGTCTCAAAGCGTAGTATTTTAAGCAAACACGTTGCTCGAAGTGCAGCCTTCATTTCTATATATTCTGAACAAACACACTGTGTCACAAGCGTTCGGTCCGGCTTGGCTCGAGTCGTCTAAAGCATCTAACACCTCAAAGGTGTATCTTTAATTGTGCTTAAATCCATAGATTAGTATTATATCTACCTACATATCCCATTGAAATGTTACAAAATGCCACATGTAAAGGTAACTGCTCCGTTAAAGTGAAGCCCTTGTCTGCCAACCCTCAAAATAGCCTCAATCAAAGTGTTCAGTCTGTTCGGCCCGACTTGGCGGGCTGTCAAAAGCAACTTAAACCTCACACATGTATCTTGAAATGTGTTTAAATCCATAGATCAGTATTATATCTACCTAAATGCCACATTGTGATGTTACAAAGAAAACTGGGTCTATAAAGTGGTATTTAGATAGATATAACTATATTCATTGGATGTAAACAGAATCTAGGATTCATCTGTGAGACTTCAAGATACATGTGCGAGGTTTAAGTTGCTTTTGACAGCTCCGGCCAAGTGGGGCCAACAGAAACTTAACACTTTTGATTGAGGCTATGTTGAAAATAGAGAGTGAGTGAGTGAGTGAGTTTAGTTTTACGCCGCACTCAGCAATATTCCAGCTATATGGCGGCTGTCTGTAAATAATCGAGTATGAACCAGACAATCCAGTGATCAACAGCATGAACATCGATCTGCGCATTTCGGAACCGATGACATATGTCAACCAAGTCAGCGAGTCTGACCACCCGCGCCCCGTTACGACAAGCATGGGTTACTGAAGGCACTTTCTAATCCGGACCTTTACGGGTGAAAATGGAGAGAGAAAGGGGCTGGAAAAGTGATATATAGGTAGATGTAATACTAATCTGTGAATTAAGACGCAATTCAAGATACATGTGTGAGGTTTAAGCTGCTTTTGACGGCCCGAGGTATGCCGGACCGAACAATAGTGGCGGTGATTATGTTTAGAGTGTGGGGAAGAGATCGTTTCATTTGCAGATGGGTATGCCTTACATACAATGAACAGTGGCCTTCTAGGGTGGTATTTGATTGGATATAGGTGTAAAAACATTTTCGGGTCGACAGAAATGTTTATCGGGAGTGACTGAAGCATTTTTTGCGTTTTAAATCCTGTTTCGTTTAACGATTCTTCTTTTAGACGTAACCTTGGTCAGCCACGTTCAGAGGCCGATAACCACTCGATATAGTCCGACGTCGCCTGCGACGTCGACCACGACGTCGCTCACGACGTCGCCCATGACGTCGCCCACGACGTCGTTCACGACGTCGCCAACGACGTCGCCCGTTATTTTTGTAGCCAAAATATATTTTACAAAGCGCGACGTCGTTTTTTTTATGCGACGTCGTGGGCGACGTCGCCCACGACGTACTTCTTTTTTTACGCGCCACGCGATGGCAATTATAGGACACCATACTCCTGGACTTAGCATCCTGCAACGGACCAAGCGAATGGAGCGCCAGAGCTACCATCTCCCAAGAATATGTGGAACGACCATAATTAGTAAGTAATTGGGGTAGGGTTTACTGAAGCCCAAACGCCAGTTACGACAATACGTCCACACAAGAAGAAGAATGATCACTCTGAAGTAGTCACGTGGATAGATAGGGGAGCGTGCTGCATGCTCAGCATGGGACTATTGACCTGTCCTACAAGGAGGGCAGCCTGGGGAACACGGGCATTTGGACAAGAGAGGCCTACAGGGAAAGTTCTCATTCGTTCCACTCAGCGTGGAAGCAAGAGAGAGAAATGAAAATCGTGAGATAGGATAAGTTTAAAAAAATGTAATTTTGGCATTTACACTTCTCTGAACGAGACCTTGACTAACATTTGTCAGGTTAAATTGCTGACTATGTTATTCTGTGATAAGGTGTTTCGATCTGAGAGGGTGGGTTCAAATCACATATGGGATAGACTCAAGCCCCACCAGCAAAGTACTAGTATCTGTACTTTACTGGGAAAGTAAATTCCCAAATGTAACATCCATTAGAAATCTTCTGAATATATTTTAAATTGATCTTATTCTTGAAATGTGTGCCATCTCTTCCTTGTCCTTTGCTGCTGTATTTTCTGCTTGTTCATCATTTTTTGTTCTCAGCTGAACATAAGAGCATTCATGCTTGGAAATCTGTAGAAATGCCTGAACTGTCTCCTTTTCTGAAATATGACAAAGTTTTCAAAATTATGTTAACACATCAAGGTACAATTCTAGTAAGTATCATCACACAGCTTCTAGTCCTATAGTATTTACCCAACTCCCGAACTTAAGGTTTTATTAGGACAAGTAAACGTTTGCCATTTTAAAGATTTAGCTAATTTGTTATCATTATGAGGACTTTTGGCCTAAATATACTATTCACACTTTGCTAAGGATCAAATTATTGGTTCAACAGAAAACTATGATGTGGGATGTAATTTGGTTTATATATCTAAGCTTATTGTAAGAATGGATCCTAGGTTTCAGTATGTCATTTAATGTTGTGGATCCCATACCTGCTATTGACAGGTGTTGTGTACTTGTAAATGACTCGTTCCATGATTTGCAAAATGGTTGATTGGTGCCATGAAAACCATTTTAATGGTTACTCATGTATCAAGTGCATACGGTTAGATTCAAGAAGCTGTTTGCCTAAGGAGGGGTTACTATATTATTATTTATCCAGTTTTAAATGGATACAATTTCAAATCATAAATCTATGTTTAAGTAAAGTTGGGAATTTTTGCGATCCTTAGCAAAGCGTGAGTAGTTTATGTTAGTTTCTGATCACTGCAATATTCAATATAGCAACGTATAGTCCTTAAATTACGTTTGCAATAAGGTAGAATATAAATAATTCTATAAAGATGGAGCCTTGAGTATTGAGGAAACTTTAAATCTCGTACCATGGCTCAACATTGAAAGGGAGTGACTGCCACTGTCTATGAGAGAAATGATCGAGGGTCAACATTAGTAATGAGTGAGTTTACGTTTACGGTACTTTTAGCTAAATTCAAGCAATATCAGGGTAGGGGAGACCAGAAATGGGCTTCATACTTTGAACCCATGTGGGGAATCGAACCCGAGCCTTCTGCATGACAAACAAACACTTTAACCACTAGGCTACCCCACCGACCGTCAACACTAGAAGAAGTAAGCACTTCATTAAGCAGATAGAGACAGAATGACTGAATACCACCGAGAAAAGGAAAGGTAGGAGAAGGATGTCCAGATAGATACTGGTTAATTTATTGCGTAGTGTTTATCAAACAAGTGAAATGATGATGAAACCAAAAAATTGACGTAATTAATTTGCAGCAACATGCACATGTTTTGGTATATACTCAGATAAATTATTACTGCAATGATAAAGTAATCAAGGCAACAAGAAAGTAATTGAACAAAAGGGAAATTTTGATTAAAACAACATTTTGATTGACAAAACTGGCAGCATTAGGTTTTTGTAAAACAAAGGTCCGAACTGAAAATATGTAAGAAAAGAAAGAACATATCTGATTCGCTAACTTCTAAACCAAGCTTCATAAAATTCTCCATACAATTGGCTCTGTGATGTTTCTCCAAATCCCCTACATGTCATGCATGATGCAGTTGGAACCAGTTGATGAAATATGTCAGCAGTATGTCAGACAAGTTCTAGCAGTGCTGAAGGCTAAGGGTTAGTTATCTAGTTAGAAAAAAGACATGGTATGTTTTCAGATTTGAGAGTTTTGTTGAGTGTTTGATAAACAGAAATTACATTTGGAACAGAAAAGTTTAGCTTGAGGTTTGAAATGTAAACAATATTGGCATTGACTACTCAATGAAAACTACAAATCTAGAAACTTGGAAATTTTAGATATAAATTGTATATTTTTAAACTTATTCTATCTCACGGTATGCACTTCTCTCTCTTGATTCGACACTGAGTGGAATGATGTTAACTTTTTTCCCTTGGCCTCTCTTGTCCATCCGCCCACGCACTCCATGCTGCCCTCATTATAAGACAGCTTCCTAGCTGTCATGCAAAACATGCGCATGCACCACTAGCTACCCACGTGACTATCTCTGAATCATCATTCTCATTTTTCGAGCCACTGGAATATCAATCTTAGAGAATTTGCGTAGAGGGAAGGATGGGCGGAAATCCGTCGTGTGAGATAGGATAAGTACATAAATATACAATTTATATTTAAAATTTCAAAATTTTAAAACTTATCCTATCTCACGGTATACACTTATCCCACGGTCGGACGGCTGGACGCAGATACCCTGTGTCTTGTCAGTGCGAACAGTAGAACTGTGTAGATTGGAAAAAAACGTAGATAGCGATGCACAAGGGAGGCCTGATACGGCTAGTGCAACTCCTATGCTTGTGACGAGTTCCTCTGAACTCCTTGGCTCACTAAGCACAACGCCTCCCAGGAAGATGGGTGCTCCCGAGTGATGTGGTGTTCAGACGCAACCTCCGGAGAAGGATGCAGCTCAGTGAGAAAGGATGTCCCTTCGCCACGATTTTCTAGTTACTCGCTGAAATTAAAGTCATAGACAATAATCGGGCATCCCGTGCTTTCGAGAGGAGCCCCACAGAAACCGACCAGGGGCGGGTGAATGAGAAGCAGTTTTAACGTTCAGTTCCAGTCAGCATTAAATTGACCCTCACTCCTGTACATAAGCTTAGTCAAAGGATGAGCCTGGCAACTTCCGAGTCGGAACGCAACAAAATTCACTGGAATTCGGGAGTGACACACTTCACTGACGTAACTGCTTCGAAAGATAGAGGTCAGGAGTAGTGGTTAGCAGGCCTTTTGCCGGAAATTTTCCAATGGAGATTAACATAGGATTTACTACCCCCAACAAGTCGAGACAAATCACGCGAAACGAAAGAACCCGGCGATCACGCGACCCCCCTCCAACCCGCCGTCTCCCTCCTGATCACGCGACCCCCTCAACCCACCCCCCCTCCCTCCTTTCTCTCTCTCCTCTCTCTCTCTTCCTCTCTCTTCCCCCATCATTCAAAAGCCGTGTGTATAATATCACAATCAACACCCATCAAAAAGGTATTTGTCGCACAAAGCTGTGTGTATATTGTCATACTGTAGCATCCCTCACGTGTTCCGCGTTAGACATCCCTCCCACTCATCTACCCCACCCACATACACAAACCCAACTGCAACCAATAGAATGCGGTTTTGAACAAGGCGCCCCTCTTCTGTAGGATCGCCCCACGATGATGTTGGGGTGTGAATGGTCGGGATCTATGTGTGATCTTTATTGTCTCATGTCGGGTTGCATTGTATAGTCTTCTTTGCATAATTTTTCTTCAGTTCTGGAAAACCGAACACTTTCATTGTTGTACCGCTCGTGCAGACTTTTGTGGTACTCATCATATCGGGGTTCGTAACACGTAAAGTCACACCCGCTACAGTGATAAACAGTTTTTTTATCGGTTGAACTATCCACAACACGACATTGTACTCCTCTTTTCTCAACTAACCGCTCGAAAACCACGAACCAAGGTCGCCGTAAGTCATCGTCATCACTATCATCACTGGAAGGAACACCCGGTGTATGAACGGTGGTATCGGGTTTTGCTTTAACAACAGTAATTTTGCGTGGAGCAGACATTCTCATCAAATACAGAAAACTACCCCAACCCACTCATACAAGGGAAGTGAATGAAGAGTCGAAGGAGAGGTTTGCTTTATTATGAGAATGTTGATACCAAAATAGTGAAAGTTATAAGTATAATAGTAGTGGTATTGATCGAGACCTCAATCATACCTACGTCAGAGGAGGGTAAACACACTTTCGGAGTAAACAATCACACCATGGCGACAACGTATGGATATAGTATAGTTAGTAATAATGTTCCAATTGAAGTTGAATCGCTTACCAAGCGAAATATATATATGACAGCGCTGATTTTACCACAAAGCCAATACCCTCACAATGCAAACAGATTATACTTCATCACCAACATTACTAGGAATTAAATATTTTTGACATCTCGAACAAAACAACCACTTGGTGTGGAGACGAGCTCTCGTATACGTGATAAATCGACCCCATCCATCTACATTACCCCCAACAAAAAGGAATAACAGATTTGACATCTCTCGATCCGCCTTTTGAGATGGGATGTTGTGATCGTATAATATGCTTCGCCTATCCAACCGTGTGACCCTTACCCCCTTCCTATCGAATCATTGACAGTCAATCAAAACCCACTCTTACAAAGTTTGGAGGTCGTGAAGGTATGCATACTTTTTGCGTGGTTATAGCTGGTTATTATTAAACGTTGGTCCTCACCACTTCATTATTCTGTTGGTAAGGAATAATTTGTGAGACCTCTCTCCTCTACCATGCAAATCTGTTAGGTTGACACCAGCTGTTGTATACAGTATATACCATGTATCTCTATCGCTTAATCATGTGCGTGAACTTTGCTATCCCGCTGCTTGCGAGAATACCTGAAAAGTGGGTGGGATTGATACAGATATCACTTATCATATTTAGTATACTTACACCAATACCGCGAGCACACCTCCGCGATAGATCATGTAAAAGGTCACTCATTTTGTGTAACAACAATCAAACTACTTCTGTCATTTCATGATTTCCATTTTCATCTACATGTGGTGGTCAGGGATTTGTGAAGTGTTGCTGCTGTTCTAGTCATAGCAAGTGTCAAACAAACAGGTGTAAATGCTTCTAAAGTCTAATATTTCCTACCACGATAGTTTACCTCACGCCGATAATGAGACATGTTGAAATTGTGATCCCTTTGGTTAGCTTAACGTTACTAAGTGCAAATCATGAAATGACTGAATCTGAGTGTATCATATATTAATAATGTATTACACCCCATTCATCAACATAAAATATAATACACAAACAAAATGCACAACCCTCCCCCCACTTCATTACCCGTGACCACCATCCAAACACCTCCCACATCCACCTCTCCCATCATCGTGCGGACAGTAATGACCAATCATTGTCTTGGTGTGACGTAATTAATCAAGGAATGACTCCGCGCGGGTTGAAGGTTATCTTACGTATATAAAAGGTCAGGTCACCGGACACTGCTCACCTTACCAGTACACAGCGACTGGAGACAGAAAGAATGAGAGAACTGTTGACGACCACCATCCTCATCACCATGACCCTGGTGATGGGTGCAACAGCGATGGACAACAACGCACCAACGTTGCCTCGACGTTGCATCGTGCAACACAGCATCTTATTAAACTGTCTAGAGACCTGATCGGGGGCTATCACCCGAAAAATCGTGCGAGTGCGGGGGAGTGGATGGCGTTCACCATTCTCCATTGACGGACATGCCTTCCCAAACCTGAAGTATGTGGAGCTGCTGCACTCGACCGTTTCATGCAGCGACATTACGAAACCCGACTACGTCACAGTTAACGTTTTTGGGCGGGTTATATGCCGACAACAGGTAAGCATTATCTTTCTTTCCAAGGGTGGTCCACACACACTAATAGAAATAGTTATTATGTGTGTTTTACAACTATTTTGTTATTTCATGTTACAGTCGACGTCAATCACCTCCCCAGGAACAACCCCCATCAGTGCAAGCTCAACAGATTCTACAACCACTCCAACAACAACAGGTTAGTAAAATATATATATTGTGTGTGTGTAGGTGTGAGTGTGAGTGTAGGTGTGTGTGTGTGTATGTGCAGGTGTGTATGTTATTTTTTTAACCACAGCCATTTCTATTATTACAGCTACCGTCTTATTACCACACCATCCACCCCATGCTGCACGCACACACGCACGCGCACACACACACTCACTGACGCACACGCACACGCACACGCACACACGATGCGCACGAGCTTAGTTCTCCAAGCAGCAGTTGAGTACGGAGGGCGAGTGTTTTAAACTCATAGGTAATGCTGGTTATGGAGGTGTTCTCCTCCACACAAAAAAATCTTACATCGCGTTTGTGACTTCCCCACCACCCGGTCATATATATATGCCGCTTGGTAAGCGTTTCACCTTTGCTGCATTAATATGAGTGTTGTCTTATTACCACACCATCCACACCATGCTGCACGCACACACGCACGCACAAACGCACGCACGCACACACACACACTCACGCACACGCACACCAAAAAAACCAAAAACGTGACATTATGTAAACATTCTCATTCATATTTATTATAATGCGCTAATCAGATACATTATACACACACAAGATATGATTTATATATAGGAGTACAATACAATCTGTATAAGCATATTACACAATCAAATAAAAAACAAAAACGGAAACTGTGATAAAGTTCACTGAGAAACGTTGGAATGTTGACATTCATTATGTCGGGTTTGTTCACTTTCACTTATGTTGGGTTGGTTTTAACACCATTTTTAGGGGGCATGTTGATATTCCATCATCCCTCACCTCTCGTTTACAATATAGATAGGACAACCCCATTCGTCGCTGTCTGTATGTGAACACTGTGTTAAGTCTCGCTATGAAACCAACATTTTCAGAACCTCTGCTCTGCTGGTCTGTGAGAACGGCTTTGTACTTCTTTAAGGGATTCTCTATACGGCGTTGGCACAGTCCTTTTGAACTTATTTTCATTCGTTCCCCTTGAACGTCTTGTTGGAGAACGTATGTTTTTGAATTCAGACATATCATTTGGCAACCTTGTGATTCTAACTTAAACAACCCGTGTGTTCTCTTGTCGCGTTGAGCATGCCTCCCGCAACACGTCCTAGAGAGAAAGTGAGTGTCACATCATCCTGGTTGCAGAGCCCCTTCAACATGTGATAATATTCAGACAGTTTCTGAGGTTTTATAACGTCATCAAGACACTGACCATGGATAGCGAAATACAGTGAATCTGTGTCCATTTGTAAAAGCTCAAAATCAGCCCTGTCCACGAAAATGTCTAAGAAATCATAATAGAACTACAACATGCGTTGTTTGGCGTACTGCAGGATAAAAAATCCTAAGACGATTGGAAGATCCATGGTGATGCGTCTCTTGGCGGCTATAACCTCTAAGTCCTTGGTGTTTAATTGACAACAAGGAGACGAACAGGGGATCATTTACCGCTGTTTTAGCATTGTCATTGAGTGAGTGAGTTAATATTTAACGTCACATCGGCAATATTGCAGCAATATCATGACGAAAACATTTGATATTGAAAAAGAATATATATATATAGACATTATAAAAACCTGCCGACAAAGGACACTAAAGCAACTAGAGTATCACAGATATATATGTAAAACTAGTAATTAAATCTAAAACATAGTAACTATAGGGGACAACACAATATAAAAATGGGCTATAGATCGCCAACAACTGAAGGTAGATCACCAGACTAGGAGCCATGGGGACTTACATTACTTTTGCTACCTGCATGGACCCTAGTTGGATTTACACCATCCCTTCAGCCATTGGCGACAGAAGAGATATCTAGCCATAAATTAAAAACACACTTATTCTACGATTAAAAACCTGGTACACTTAGATTGACTAAATGTTTTGGGACTTACGTACCCTCTCAGGAGGACAATAATTTTACAATACTTCAACCCCCTTTGAGGATACAGCCACTAACAATCTCAGTTGCAAATCTAAACTACCAACAATAAAATATTTAACTATTTACAAATCAGTCAACAAATCTATTTTTTTTAAAAATGCAATAATTAAATGAGAACTGACATTATTAAAAAGATCCTTCAGAGTTTTGGATTTGAAATAGATATCCCTTGTGATGGAATATTCAGTGCAGTCAAGCAAGACATGCTTGACTGTGATCCTTTCATCACAAGGGATACAAAACGGAGGATCTTCGCCTTTCAATAAATATTCATGAGTATATCTGGTATGACCAATGCGACATCGTCGCATAATGACCTCCTCAAATCTGGACTGACAACCCAAGTAGGTGTAACCAATGTAGGGTTTTATTGCATATAATTTATTAATACCTACTTGGGTGTCCCACTTCTTTTGCATTAGATTGTGGATGTATGTTCTAATGCTGGCTTTATAATCAGAGTATGGGATAAGAAGTGGTGTCACAGATTTGTTGAGGGCTGCCTTAGCAGCAATATCAGCCATTGTGTTCCCAGAAATGCCAATGTGGCTGGGTAACCAACAAAAGACGATGTCGCATTGGCCAGTAGCAAGTTCATTGTACAATTCAATAATTTCTAATAAAAGTGGATGTTTGCAAGAAAGATTTTTAATAGCCTGAAGACACGAAAGAGAATCTGAAAAGATGATATAGTGTTTATATTTACGGTTTTTTTATTAATATATTTAAGAGCTGTTAAGATGGCGTTTGCTTCTGCTGTAAATATAGAGCTGTTATCAGGTAATCTAGAAGATATTGTTCGAGATCCAATGACAGTGGCACATGCCACTGCGCCACCGTCCTTGGACCCATCTGTAAATAAGGATTTGTATGTATTATACTTGATTTTTAATTGATTATATTCTTGTTTATACTGTAATTCATTAGTTGCAGACTTCTTAAACTTTGTCAGAGTTAGGTCAACTTCAGGCCTCACCAGTTGCCAAGGAGGAGAAGAAAGAAGACGGGAAGGAGATATACTTTCCAGCTCAATGCCGGCAGCAGAACTGAAGGGCTTAATTCTATGCCCAAGAGGCGGAACAAGAGACGGTTTTTTGTTGTATAAATCCTCGTAGAGGGGATTAAAAACATAGTTAAATGCAGGGTTAGACTCGCTAGAATATAGTTTAGTTATGTATTTTAAAGATAATTTGATACGACGTTGTGTTAGAGAGGGCTCATCTGCTTCAACATATAGACTATCAATAGGAGAGGTTCTAAAGGACCCAAGACAAAGTCTTAGGCCTTGGTGGTGGACAGAATCAAGTAGTTTTAGGTTGCTTTTGCAGGCTCCACCATATACGATGGAGCCATAATCAAGTTTCGAGCAGACCAATGATCGGTATAGGTGGAGGAGGGTAGCTTGATCCCCTCCCCACTTTGAGTTGGAAACAACTTTCAACAAATCGAGTGCCTTCAGGCATTTGGCCTTAAGCGATTTAATATGTGGCAAAAAAGTTAAATGGGAGTCGAAAATTAGACCCAAGAATTTGGCCTCCTTAACAACTTTGATGGGAGAGCCATTTAAAGATAGTTCCGGATCTTTATGCGGCTTATATTTTCTACAAAAGTGTAGACAATTAGTTTTGGACTTGGAAAATTTAAAACCGTTTTCAAGACACCATTTATTTATTTTATTTAAAAACAGCTGCAGTTGCCGTTCAATAGTATGCATATTCTTACCACGACAAGAAATATTAAAATCATCCACAAAAAGTGATCCCTCTATTGAATCATTTAAAACCTTGGATAAACTGTTGATCTTGATGCTAAAAAGTGTGACAGACAAAATACTGCCTTGTGGGACACCCTGATCCTGATTATAATGGTCAGACAGGGTAGAACCCACGCGGACTTGAAATTGCCTGTCAGCTCTTTTACAAAAGATTCTAAACGCACTAAATGATCGATGGTACTACGTTTTTTACGGAAACCACATTGTATATTAGTTATAAGGTTATTGGTTTGCAAGTACCAAACAAGTCGATTGTTGATCATGCGTTCCATGGTTTTGCAAACGCAGCTAGTGATTGAAATTGGTCTATAATTAGAGGGATCTGTATGATCCCGTCCAGGTTTAGGTATGGAAACAATAATAGCATCACGCCACGAGGAAGGAAAATTTCCAGATGTTCAAATGTCGTCAAAAATGTGTAAGAGCGTCTCTAAACATGATTCAGGTAAGTGCTTCAGGAGTCGATAATGTATGTTATCGGCCCCTGAAGCAGTATCATGAGCCTGATCAAGAGCAGTATGTAGCTCATGTATCGAAAAGGTTTCATTGTAGTCTTCCCCATTATCTGAATTGAAATTAATAGCTTTCTTTTCTTGCTGTTTTTGATATGTTTGGAATTCAGGTACATAATTAGATGAGGAAGAATGTTTAGCCAACGTCTCACCAAGTTTATTAGCAATATCAGATTTATTAGTAAGTAATTCGTTTCCGTCTTTGAGATGGTGAATGCTAGACTTAGAGCCCTTACCCTTGATTTTCTGGATGATATTCCACACCTTGGATATAGGTGTGCGAGAATTAATTTTTGATATATAATTTCGCCAAGATAGGCGTTTACTTTGCTTGAAAGTACGTCGTGCTTTGGCGTTTAATATTTTATATTTGTCCAAATTGTGGACCATGGGATGGCGACGGAAATAGTGCTCGGCTTTCTTCCGTGCCTTCCTAGCCTGTTTGCAGTCATTGGTAAACCATGGTTTTCGTACGTGAGGAATTGCAGAGGACTTTGGGATACACTCATCAGCTATGTTATTTAGTTCATCTGAAAAAACATTTTATGGCATCATGAATGTCATTAAAAAGTTCAGGTTTCAGATTGTCAGCACAGAGAGCTTCATATAAAGGCCAGTTGGCCTTTTTAAAATTCCACCTTGACGATGGAGGAACATCAGATGGATTCACAGGTGTCAGTATTGTTGGGAAATGGTCACTTCCACAGAGGTCATCATGGACCGACCATTCGAATTCACTCAGTAGGTTAGAGTCAGTAATAGACAAGTAAAGAGCTGAATATGTTCCTGCGCCAGGATGTAAATATGTCTGTGAACCGTCATTATAAATGCATAAATCATTATTTGAAATAAAATCCTTCAGTAATTTACCTTTGGTGTTTGTATTAATACCACCCCAGAGTGGGTTGTGGCCATTTAAATCCCCCATGATTAAACAGGGTTTAGGTAGTTGATCATATAGAGCTTGCAGATCGGTTAGTTGAACAGCTGATGATGGCGGAATGTACAAAGAGCATAAAGTAAAAGCAACCTGTAATGTGAGTCGGACTGCAACGACTTGAAGATTTGTTTTAAGTGGAACTGAGCTATGGATAATATTGTTCCTCACCAGGATGGATGATCCTCCAGAAGCTCTATCACCCGGAGGAGAAAAACAGTGATATGCATTGAATTGACGGAGGTCAAAAGTATCTGTCTGTTTCAGATTGGTTTCTTGTATACAGAACGCTGACGGCTTAAAATCTTGGACAAGTAACTGTAAATCGGCTAAATTATTCCTCAGTCCTCTACAATTCCACTGTATTATGTGTGAGGACATTATGTCTTCGGAGGATGGACTGGGGATCTACCCCTCACCTTCCTTGAAGGCGACAAGCTATGTGTCCTACCATGGTCTTGTTCGGACACATCCATGTTGTCAAGGGATCCAAACTTATTAAAGATTTGGATCGGGTTTTTGTCCCCTTTTGGGGCTCTGCCACTTTGATTCCTTCTGGACTGTTCAGTGTTTGGTTTTGACTTGCTTTCACGGTTGTCTCTGATTTAGATGATTGTTTCTGAGATACTGATGTATCCATCTCAGAAGATGCTTTGGACTGAATGGTTTGGGAACAGGACGTCACTTGAGAAGGCTTCACCTGGATTTTAGTAGACAGCAACGTGGGAGCAGAAGTCGAAGTCCAGGTATAATCTGTCTGGCATCTGACTGAAGTAAAGTCAACTTGTACCGGTTTCGAGGCTTTAGTAGAAGCAGAGACGGTGGTAGCATAAGTCGGACCTGACTGTTCTTGGGCAAGAACAGTCTTTTTCGCTTCTAAGAATGAAATATTGCGCTCGTGTTTCACCCGCGAAATTTTAGATTGTAATTTCCATGTAGGGCACTCTTTGGATGAAGACGGGTGGCAACCAGAACAGTTGACACAAACAGGAGGTTTGTTACACAGATTGCTGTCCTGACATGTTCCAGCGCATCGTTGGCAAGCAGCTGGACTGTGGCAAGACTTGGACCCATGACCGTACTTTTGACAGTTAAAGCATCTCAAGGGGTTAGGAATAAATGTATCCACTCTCAAGTTGCAATAACCTGCTTTCAGAGATGTGGGATGAACTGGAAGACAAAAAAGTGCATAAATAGGTATTTGTTTTAATAATCTCGTTATTCTTTTTGACCGTGAACCGTTTAACATCAGTAACTCCTTGTGACTGCAATTCTACGACGATGTCAACTTCATTCATATCAGCAAGACAACGTCCAATATCACGGACGATGCCTTTGCTTGTATTCAATGTCCTGTGAGGGGACACCTCAACAGGAACATTTGCCAACGATTTTGTGTTCAGCAGAATTTGAGATTGTATCTGTTTCTTACACTCAATGAGCAAAGAACCAGATCGTAGCTTTTTAATCTCCTTAACATCACCTGCTAAACCTTCAATGCCCTTTGCCACAGCAAATGGGTTCAACTTGAGAGGGCCACCATCAGGAGCACACATGACGAGGAAATGAGGCCAATTGTCAGGGCTGGTGAGAGATGTAGGAAGCTCATCCTCTGAGGAAATCGAATCATCGGATTCGTAGGAACGTTTTTTGTGTGGGGGGTGCCATGGTAGAAATATATATGTTTCATCCTCCTAGATCCTCACCCACCACGGAGTGTCAACAAGGACGATGTCTCATGTCTATGGATCTCCAACAGACGACACCAAGGATACTAGGAGGGTATACTCAAGCAGGAAAAATCTTACAAAGATATGTCCCACCGGATTGGCCCATGAGCCACCGCCTTCTGGCATAGGACTCTAGGCAAATTAACAAATCAGTAATCATATTTTCACCAAATATTTATCGCCAAGATCAAACAATATTTTTGGAAAAGATCAAATCAAATTTGGTGCAACGTACTTACCATGCACATGCACCATAGCCGAGTGAGGCAAGCAGCGAGCGAGTGTAGCCGAGCGAGGTACTGACTGACTGACTGACTGACTGACTGAGAGAGCGAGCGACCCACACAGACAAAAGAAGAAAGAAAGAGAAAATAAAATATCAATCAAACGCTAGGACCTCCCTCCTAGTGGTTGTCAGGGGAGCATACCACTCGTTGTCGTGTGTGTGTGTGTGTGTGTGTGTGTGTGTGTGTGTGTGTGTGTGTGTGTGTGTGTGTGTGTGTGTGTGTGTGTGTGTGTGTGTGTGTGTGTGTGTGTGCATACAAAGGTTGTGTGTTGTCAACGCAAAAACACTCACTGGCAAATGAGAACGTGAGAAATCGTACCCTCTCACTTTCTCGTGTATGTAGACAACGAAACCTACTCAATCTAATTCACAAATATCAATCAAAACTCGATTATGGTGTTTCATAAGCATGATGTTTTAATGCGTCATTGCAACGAGTGGGTGTGTTTATATGTATGTTAAAGTGCTGACACATGACAACCCGTGGACGGTAGGGTATATATATATATCAATATGTGTTCTCTATCTCCCAAAATTACATCTTGCATTTTTACGAAGCAGGGGGGTACCAGTTTACTAGGAGAAATGGAAACTCCACCTATGTCACCTTTCTTCTGCGGGGAAAAAAGACCTCACAGCTTGCCCACCCAGGTAGACGACTCGGTTGACACTACACCGGTTAAACTCATCAGGAAAGGGTTGGTTTTCCACCAGCAGCATGACGAAGCCACAATCGTTGACATAAGCAGTGGTGAAGAAGGGGAGGGGGATACCAATAAAGACCATAAACCGTTGAACAAAGCTGGGCAAAGAAGTAGCGAACCTAACCCATCTCGAAAGGAAGAAGGTGGGAACGCGACGGATGATGACGACGATACCGTGATAATTTTGGATGATGATGATGATGACCTTGACGACACTGATAATGATGACAAACTCTCTTGCTCTTCATCCTGCACCATCGAGCTAGATGGTGATGACAAGGAGTAAGAACAGAGGTTCAAATGGGGACAGTGGGTCGTCATTCAGGATGCTATATCTGCCACTCTTAAAGTAAAACTTGATGACGTGATGGTGGTCGTGGTTAAAAGAAACACCCAGAATATAGCCAGCAAATTGAAGATGCCCTGGGCCATAGCTAAAAAGGTGAGTATTAACGTGTGTGTGTGTGTGTGTGTGCGCGCGCGCTCCTTCTAAATAATATTGTGTGGAAACACAAAAACACATTCACACGCAATGCGTTGTGTGTGTGTGTGTGTGTGTTTTCTCGAGTTATTTTTCCTTTACCTTCTTTATCCTCTCACTGCTAGCTCTAATTTATTGTTTTACACCAACAGCTCGCGACCAACCTGGGGTTACTGAAACGGCAACTCACGACTGTAAGGAAGAGGTACAGGAAATGAAGCCGAGCTGTCATGACATCCGGGTTTATGCTCTCAGTTCGTCCCCGCTTTAAGGTGACGTATTCAAAGTTAAATAACTATTGGTACGTCAACATCAGAAGAGTTAGCAGTCGGAAGACTGATGCTGAGAAGACTACCTTCAAGAAAAGTAACGGGGTGTGTCTATCCGTTGAAGATGCGATACAAGTTGTTTCATACATCAACGCTGCACGTACGTTCAAAGCAAATAGGAAAGTAACCGAATAGGAGAGAGAGAGAGAGAGAGAGAGAGAGAGAGAGAGAGAGAGAGAGAGAGAGAGAGAGAGAGAGAGAGAGAGAGAGAGAGAGAGAGAGAGAGAGAGAGAGAGAGAGAGAGAGAGAGGCATTTGACCATGGTGGGAGGAGGAGATGGCAGGATAAAACCTCTCAACCTAATTAGATGTAAACGTTGCAATAGGTGGATTAAAGGAGGACGTAGCAAGTACGAAAACATTATAAACTGTGTATTTCGAGATGTAGATTAGAATGTTTGAAGTGTCATGCAACATTCGACGATAATACACGCTTCCATAAACACGTAGACAGCAACAATTGTGAATCAGTAGCGTCCACCTCTTTGGCGGGTGACAATACCATTAACAACAACAACAACAACAACCCTTCACATCTTCACGTTTGTGTGCATTGTGGGAGACAATTCGCTGGGAAATGGGGGCTTAATGTTCATTCCCGACTGTGTAAGCACGCCCCAAACAGGTCGCCGTTGAGGTGTCGGATCTGTTTCAAGCCATTTCCAGACAGACGAACGATGTGGAATCACCACCTCGAAGCTCACCCCCCTAACAATCAAAGGGGAGGTCAACATGAAAACAACGACAACGGTGAGCATGATAGCTTACAACCACAACCATGGTCAGCAAATGAACGTCAGAGACCTTGGACAGTCGACAGCGGTGAGATTGTACACCAACCATTACTGAGGAATTATACCACACATAGGGATATAATACTGCGTCCTCACCAGACCCAGGGCAATGTTCACCATACTTACAACTTCCCACTAAACGGAAATAACATCGATTCTATCGACTTTTCGGGACAACTCGACTACATATATCAAAACGAGCAACAATCGTTCAAGGTGAACGTAGCTTTCGGTATCATTCTATTGCATGTCGAAACTGGTGAATATAGATACTTCATAGCATATCGCAATAACCAGTTATTTGACAGACCACGGTTCGTCACAAACGCGAGTTCTATTCGACGGATTGTATCCAGTATACATCGGAAGAGCATGGATGATCATGTATTGACGCAAAGACCTGACACTAAGTGGATGCCCATATTCGTCACTAACGTGGTATATTCTGTGTACCTGACTAATTATGTTCTGGGGAGATGGGGTTCTGGTGGTGGCACAATCCCACCCTGGATTCGGAAAAAAAGGTGTTTGTTGTTGACTAAATCCCGACACGAGGACTCCCTGTGTGCGTTTCGTTGCTTAGCTACTCACCTAAGGATGTGTAAAAAACGGAAATCTAGGAAGCGAAAAACAAATGTCTCACCACAACCCACATGGAGCGGAGGCGAAAAAAACGCTCTCAAGCTGTTCCATGAATGGAGACGAACCATGAAAAAACATAAAACTAATAAGTGTGAAAAAACATTTTCAGGTTTAAAAGTTCCAGAAGACGTACCTGCATTTGAAAAGTTATTTAATGTGCGAGTGAACATTTTTGCCTTACAAGACATGGGGTATTCTTGTAGCCCCATATATCTGTCTCCCATTGACACACCTTGTGCTGCGGATGTTGGAGATCTAAATATGAATTGTTACAAAGATCACCTGTCTTACATCACAAACTCCAGTTCGTATGCGCGACGTTATAAGTGTAGACATTGCGACAGATGCTTCAAAAGACCCGGACAGGTTCGACAACATGAAAAAACACAATGCTGTAACAGGACTAAGCTGATATTACCTGGTGGGTACATGAAAACTCAACAATCGGTTTTTGAAGAGTTGCAAGATATGTGTGGTGTTAACATTCCCGATGAAAACAGGTGTTCTGATTTCTTTGTGATGTTTGACATGGAGGCACTACTGACAGCTCCCAATGAAAAAGCTGACGGAACAGGTAACACGAGATGGGTGCAAAAACATCATCCCATATCAGTCAGCGTCTGTAGTAACGTACCGGTGTACACTGTACATAGAGCCTGAGTGTATGGTATGCCCGGATACTGGTGTATTGTTGAACAGTATGGTGAAATACATGAGTCATATAGCGGATGAGGCTGGAAAACGAACAGAGCATAAGCTCGGGGGAGCGCTCAAAGCACTTACACAACAAATAGAGTTTCTCACAACACTTCGTGAACGAAGTGACACGTCCACGTCCCAGCGAGTGAGCAACTCGGGTAAAAACATGATTGTTCCTTCTCCCACAGGATGTGATGATGATGATGATGATGATGATGATGATGATGATGATGATGATGATGATGAAGAACCCCCATCGAAAGCTATGTTAAACAGGCTTGCGAAACCAAACGTGTACCACACACTGCTGAAGAAAGTTGTGGAAACTGATGCGATCACCCCTGTATACAACGAGTGGGATGATATAGACGATGCTGATGTGGAGACGTCGGTGGAACGTGGAGAAAAATGGACGCCATTACATGCTATACATCTAAAGAAACTACATCGCCTAAGAGAATGGACATTACTCTATTGCCGGCAGGTTCCTGTTTTGGGGTTTAACTCCTCCAAGTATGACCTAAACCTTGTCAAATATTTGGTTTAGGACAATGAAACTAGACCAGTGCAAGGGATTCTTTCCATACGACTTCCTAGACGATGTCAAACGATTGGATGAGCCAGGTATTCCCCCCGTAAAATCCTTCTGGTCGGACCTGAAACAAGTTAATACATTATTGGATCCAAATGAAGAAATGTACAACAACCGTCGTCGAGAAAGGGGAAGGAAGGAGTCTCTCCATTGAACAAAACTATGCCTACCTGCAGAAGGTGTGGAAGGAAAATAATGTGAAAACGCAAAGAGATCTGTTGATTTGGTACAACAACCTCGATGTCGAACCCGGTGTGACAGCAATATCACGTCTGAAACATTTCTATTGGAAGGAAATAAAAGTGGACATCTTCAAAGAGGCTATTTCTATACCAGGTGTTGCACGAAAACTCTTGAATAAGACAGCCAATGATTCCGGTATTGGGTTCTCCTTATTCGATCAAAAGGATAGTGACTTATACGAGACTGTGAAGCAAGACATATGTGGTGGACCTTCACTGTTGTTTACTCGCTTCCACCAAACAGGTGAGACCTATCTGCGAGGGGATGCAAACAAGCTGTGTGGGAATATAATCGGACTAGACAGCAACGCATTGTACCTTTATTGTCTAGCCCAAGAACTACCAGTATCCCATTACATTCGGTGATTACCAACGCTGGATGGGAGGAAATTCACCTCTGTAAAGTCGTGTGAAAAATATACAGCATCTCATGACTGGTGAGACTGGTTGGCTTACACTGAACATATACAATTGGCGCACAAGATTAACACCGGCACTGAAAAGCGGGTAGGACCATACCTAATTGATGGTTATCATTTGCAAACAAACACCTGTTACGAGAACAACGGGTGCTACTGGCATGGATGTTCGAAACCGGGTTATCGTGTGGGTGAACGCATGCGAACAACACCAACATCACTGGAGCGAGCTGAGGCACGTCTTCAAAGAACGCGAGAGAAAGAAGAATATATAAAGAATGCTGGGTATAGTCTTCTGACTATTTGGGAGTGTGAATTTAGTCATATGAAAAAACACAATAGAGAGCTGATGAAGTTTCTGTTTTGCAAACAACATCAATTTTATGCTAAGTATGGAAACAAACCCTGTTGAAGGGTGTACGCGAAGGTAGCTTTTTTGGATTGGTGGAGGTTGACATTCACGTGGCTGCGGGTTTGTACAACCACTTTTCAGAGATGTCACCATTGTTCGTAACATGTAAGGTGTCTCATTCCTCTGTAGGTCCCATATGCAAGAATATGTGTCCAACCAATCACTGAGCACAAAGGATAGGATTCTCCTCGTAGGTGGTATGGGTGCGAGGAGGGTGTTGCTAGCATCGCCATTATTAAAATGGTACATGGAACATGGGTTAGTGATAACCAGAGTTCACCAAGCAGTTGAGTACGGGAGAAAAGACTGCTTTAAATCTTTCACGAATAAAGTCACTCATGCACGGAGAATGGGAGACGCTGACACCGAGTTGAGCCTGCTGGGGGAGTGTTTTAAACTCATAGGAAAAAATTGGTTATGGAGGTGTGCTCCTCGACAAATCGATGCACATGAACTGTCGGTATGTGTGTGGTGATGACAATGCTAAAACAGCGGTAAATGATCCCCTGTTCGTCTCCTTGTGTCATTTAAACACCGAGGACTTTGAGGTTATAGCCGCCAAGAGACGCATCACCATGGATCTTCCAATCGTCTTAGGATTTTTTATCCTGCACTACGCCAAACAACGCATGTTGTAGTTCTATTATGATTTCTTAGACATTTTCGTGGACAGAGCTGATTTTGAGCTTTTACAAATGGACACAGATTCACTGTATTTCGCTATCCATGGTCAGTGTCTTGATGACGTTATAAAACCTCAGAAACTGTCTGAATATTATCACATGTTGAAGGGGTTCTGCAACCAGGATGATGTGACATTCACTTTCTCTCTAGGACGTGTTGCGGGAGGCATGCTCAACGCGACAAGAGAACACAGGGGTTGTTTAAGTTAGAATCACAAGGTTGCCAAATGATATGTCTGAATCAAAAGGACTCAAAACATACCACAGCATGGTGTGGATGGTGTGTGGTAATAAGACAACACTCATATTAATGCAGTAAAAAGTGAAACGCTTGCCAAGAGGAATATATATATGACCGGGTGGTGGGGAAGTCACAAACACGATGTAAGATTTTTTTGTGTGGAAGAGAACACCTCCATAACCAGCATTACCTATGAGTTTAAAAACACTCCCCCTCCGTACTCAACTGCTTAGTGAACTAAGCTCGTGGGCATCGTGTGTGTGTGTGTGTGTGTGTGTGGGCATCGTGTGTGTGTGTGTGTGTGTGTGTGTGTGTGTGTGTGTGTGTGGAAAACACGCACAGTAGTGGCTTTCTTTTTTTAGTTTTATTGTAGAGTTACAACCCAGTAGTTATTCTTTGATTGTACAACAAGCATCTGAGACAAACAGACAGTACTTTTTTATATGTTATTGTAATAATAGAGAAACACATACATCTCTAAAAAAATAAACGACTGAATACACCTATACTCGTATACCCACAAACAAAGCCAAAGGCAAGTAAACACATAAATTCTATATATATATATTCATAATATAATATAATATAATATAATAATAATAAATAATAATATAATAATAATAATAATAAACACGGGCCTGATGATGTACGCCTCTTCGTGGTGGGCCTAGATAGGGGAATTATATTCCCTGAACTGAACGTACATCACCCAGTTAGGGCTGACCCCCCGAAGCTGGTTTTTACTGGGTTACAAATAGCCAAGAAGAACTTAATCTTTCAACTCCGCAGCCCAGTCAGCCTTCCTCCGGTGGAGACACCAACCATACTGGAGATGGGACTTGCCCCAGGGGAAGGCACAGAACCCGACCAAAATATCTTGGTCAAACCACCTTAAAACCACACTACTTGAGTGTGCGAGAGCGACAGGATGGCCTGAAAATCCACGTATCACTGGCAAGTCGCTGAAGCTGCATTGGGACAATGCCATGCCCATGTATGCTTCCCTGACGGAGCAAAATCTTCGAGATCAATTCCGGCAGCTTAAAAATCTCTTGCCCCGTGAGCCAGTTCAACCCACAACTGGTGCCCGTCAGGAACTCTTGCATGAACAGAATGCTCAAGTGGCAGCAGACCCAAAACTTCTGATGGACGTCCGTGTCAACCTCTTTCCTCTTGCTGATGGGAACTCTTCTGGCATAGAGCCAATTGGCCCCGAAATTTCGGATGCTCACTCTTCCTCTTCTTCAGTTGCAGATCTTTCCGAAAACCCTGTGTATATTTTGTTTCATTCTATTTATGATGAAATATTTGACATATCTTTTGAAAAACGGAGGCCAATTCAACAAACAAATGTATCTTTCCCCAAACATGAAATTAATTTATTATATGACATTATTACTATGAAACTTTCATCGGACTGTTCATGACATGAAGTTAATTGTTGTGTCTATACTGCCGCTCGAACCTTGGAGGAACTTCACACAGTTTCCAAAGAAAAATCATCTAATACTTAGAACAATACACTAAAGAAAAACCGGTTTCAAGTTAAACTAACGGAAACGAGAAAATACGTTTCCTGGATAGAGCTGTGCCTGAAACTAAGATCATCAGGGAGCCCAATATCGAAAGCGCAAAAGACAATTTGGAGAAAATTAAAATTGCACGGTACAGAGACAACAAAAGAAAAGGTACTTCTCTTTAAATTGTCGATTCCCCTTGAGGCAAAAAAATACAAGTTTGGACTGAAAAGAGAGAAAAAATGGGAAAAGAAAAATAAATTCATCAAACAAAATAAACTTTTTAGAAATAATGAAAAAAACACTTCTACAGGCAACTGGAAAACAAAGGGTGATGGTGAGTATGATGAACGGCCTTCCATGGATGCCAATGAAAGGTTCTGGAAACAGTTGTGGTCTATACCCGGCAACTGTAACCTTGAGGCACCATGGGTCTGTGATTATGACCATGCAATGCATGAGAAAGTAACTAGGTCGTTTGTCTGTTACATCTCACCAGATTGCCTGAAAAGTGTCATCAAAAAGTCCAAATCTATTACAGCTCCAGGGCCTGACGGTATTCGAAACCGGTATTGGAAACTGTTCCCCTGTGTCCAAACACCATTACTTCACTGTTTCAATTCTCTTGTGGACACAGGTGATGTTCCTCCATGGTTCTGCAAAGGTCGCACAATACTTCTCCCCAAGAAAGGAGACTTGACTGATCCCAAAAACTTCCGCCCTATCACATGTTTGAATACTCAGTATAAAATATTCACAGGGTGTTTGACAAACGTGTCATCCTACTGCTCTTCCAATGATATAATTTACAGAGAGCAGAAGGGAGCAAGAAAGGGATGTTTGGGGTGCAAGGATCAACTTCTTGTACAAAAAATGATTTTGGAAGAGGCTAAAGTATATCACCGCAACCTCTCCATGTGCTGGATTGACTACAAAAAAGCATACGACTCTTTTCCTCACGAATGGATTCTGAAGTCTCTTCATTGTATTGACCTACCTGAGCGACTACTTGATTTACTCAAGTCTTTAATGAGTTGCTGGTCGACTCAACTTGAGATGGAGGAGTTATTGAGTATCTTGTGGAAGATCAGGCCTACACCTATCTTGGAATGCAAGTTCGAGACAAGCTCCAGAATGCCGAGATTCAAAAAAAACTTCGGGCGGAGTACAAATCTCGCTCCCAAAGAAAATCTAAGAGCTCAGAGCTATTCCAATTAGAAATTTTCAGGGGACTCCTTTAGTCCTTTGCTTTTTGTTTGTTCTAAATCCTTTGAGCTTTCTGCTCAACAGAAGAGAAAGAGGGTTACCACCCCAGACCTCCTCAGCACAGATCCCCAACACCGCTTACTCATCTCCTTTACATGGATGACATCGAGGCTCCTTGCCAAAGGAGATACCAATCTGAAAGAACAGGTTCTCCTTGTCGAGTCCTTTTCTAATGATATTGGCATGACATTTGGACTCGAATAAATGTAACCTCTTCATTTTGAAACGTGGCAAGGTAACTAATGATGGATCGGTCAAGTTTACAAGGGGAGGAGTTATTGAGTATCTTGTGGAAGATCAGGCCTACACCTATCTTGGAATGCAAGTTCGAGACAAGCTCCAGAATACCGAGATTCAAGAAAAACTTCGGTGAGTACAAATCTCAGCAAAAGAAAATCTGGAGCTCAGAGCTCAAATGCTCGAAACAAGGTCAAAGCCACCAATACCTTTGCTGTGCCAGTCCTTTCCTATTCCTTTGGAGTAGTTGATTGGACAAAACAAGACATCCAGAGTCTTGACCATCTGACCAGAAGGATCATGTCTGATAACAGAGCGCACCACCCTCGTTCCTCTCTTAACCGTTTGTATATGCCAATCAATTCTGGAGGTCGGGGTTTGATTAATGTGGAGGCTCTTCATGATAGAATTTTATTGTGTACTTTTGCACTTATTTATTTATCGGATGATCCTCTAGTGATGCATGAGAAGACTCATGATGAAAGCAAGGAATTCCACAGCTATTTTAAGCGTGCCAAGGTTGTTGGACAGAATCTGAAATTTGAGGTTGATTTTGTTGATGGCGATGTACTGCTGGACGGTACAGCAATGGGAGTAAACCAGGTGAAGTCCTTTACCAAGTCTGCCCAGAGTCGGTCTTTTGTGGAGAAGCTTTCTGAGAAGCCATTGCATCGTGTGTACATGCAGTGTGTTGAACAGATTTGCAAACCCACCGACTCCTTCGCCTGGATGAAGTCGGTTGGTCTTAAATGTGAAACTGAGGGCTTCCTTTTTGCTGCTCAGGACCAGTCACTTCCCACTCGTAATCACCTAAATGTGATTCTTAAAGAAAATATTAACATGAAATGTCGACTTTGCAATGAATTTACAGAGACTGTACAACACCTTGTCAGTGGATGTCCTTCCTTGGCACAAACAGCATATCTTAAACGACATGATGGCATGGCTCGATGCTTTTACTACCGTCTCCGACATGCCTGTGGCTTTGACTCCGAGGTCCATCCATGGTACCACCCTGAACATGTCCAGGGCGTCATGGAAAATGATGCTTTCAAACTTCTGTGGAATAGGCCCATATACAGCCTCAGAAGAATTCCAGCTAACAAACCTGATCTTGTCCTGTTTGATAAAGCCAATGAATTTATTTATTTCATTGAATTTTCTGTCCCTTTTGACACCAATGTGATTGGCAAGATTAAGGAAAAGCATGATAGTATGCGGACCTCGCCTTTGAAATATCTCGCTTGCATCCCAAGTACACTGTCGTCAGGCTCCCCATTGTTCTCAGTGCCCTTGGTTTGGTACCTCCTGATCTCATGGCGCAGATCAGGAGAGTGCCCGGGTTCTCCACCGGGAGTACAGCCCTTCTGACACTCTGGGTAATGCAGAAGGCTGCAGTGTTGGGGAGCCTTCATATTCTCCGGAAAGTTCTTGGTGGGTTCGACTAGGCAGCGTTTCCTGGGAGAAGTCCCATTCGCTGTCTGGGCTGCGTGTAGAGGGGGCAAGGGCCCTGAGCTGATGATGAGCCTTACCAGCCTGACTGTGCCAGGATCACCCGAACCCTCTCTGCTGCATACAATCTTTAATCTGTAAAACATAATAATAAACACATATTATATATCTAGAACACACAGTCTTAAATACATAAAGCCGGCGACCATTCCTAATACGCATGTAGACACAAACTCGTATAGGCACACACAAAGCCGGTGGCAAGTAAAGCACATAAATACTATAACATATATAACAGTCTTAAGCACATAAATACATGGTCCATAGTTTTAGCTGGTGAGCAGTTCTAACAACACGCATGTAGACACAAAGTGGGAGGTGACATTCGGAGGCAACGAAAAAACACACACAGGCATAGATGAGAATAAAAAAACAAACATCCCCACAACACAATTAAGTTCAAGGTGGTGTGGAGATCATCAATAACGAATCAAGCGATGTATGGAGGGGATCCTTTTCCTCAGTTTCTTCTTTTTGAGATTCTTCCTCTTTAGCTTTCCATCACCCCCGCCCCACACCTCCCGCAGTCGGGGGTCAACAATATGTGTATCATCATCATCATCATCATCATCATCATCAGACCCGTGAAGATCCGGGGTAGAATAGGTCTTCAGCAACCCATGTGCTTGCCATAAAAAGGCGACTCTCTTGTCGTAAGAGGCGACTAACAGGATCGGGTGGTCAGGCTCGCTGACTTGGTTGACACATGTCATCGGTTCCCAATTGCGCAGATCGATGCTCATGCTGTTGATCACTGGATTGTCTGGTCCAGACTCGATTATTTACAGACCGCCGCCATATAGCTGGAATATTGCTGAGTGCGGCGTAGAACTAAACTCACTCACTCACCATCATCATCATCATCATCATCATCATCATCATCATCATCATCATCATCATCATCTTCATCATCACGACTATCATTATCACCATGACGGTGGTGTTGTAGTTTGTTGGATTCTTCATCTGGTGACATATACGAGTAAACATTATCACCTGTGTTTACAGTGTCTCTACTACTGGATAAAGAAGAACCAGTATGATGAGGTTCTTCACCACCTTGTTGGTGTTTCAACAGCAGTTCGTATTTCCTCTTTGGAACGAGCACCAGTTCTTGGGCTCGGATTGAGCTCATGCACATGATTTCCTCTTATTTTATTGTGTGTGCGACTTCCTCACCCTCACTAGGGAGTTCTTCTTCTTCCTCTTCTTCACCGCTACCTACTTCTCCTTCCTCTTTCGCTATGATGGGAGAGCAACTTCCTTCCCCAAACAAAGAAATGATACCCGGTAACTCCTTTCTAATTCCCACCAATAATTTCCTAGTGTTTACTCTGCTCACCGACATGTCTGCTATAAGGCGTAACTGTTTTTTCTTCTTCCGGAGTCTCGTTTTAGAGTCCTCAGATAAAGAGATATTTCCTCGTAACATATTCAGACAAATCTCACACAAAGAATCTACCAGTTCACCAGGGAATATATTAGTTCTGAACTGGTACTTCTTGCTTCCTTTGGGTGAGAGATCTATCAACAAATAACCGTATGGATTATGTTCCGTTGCTCTTTCATACGCGTCCAGAAAGAATGCCACCTTCCCCGGGAGGATCTGTCTACCAATGGTTGCCACCTGCGATGCGTCTCTTCGGTTCTTAAAAAGAATAATGAAATGTGAGTTCAGTGAAAAAGTCCTGGCATACTTCTCGTAGCATGTTGATGGAAACAGGTTTTGGCTGATAACACAAACTGAAATGGTTAAGTGGTGACTCATTGTTGTGAATAGTTTACACATGCTCGGACTGCGACAGACTTCCTCAATAAGGTCATCTATGACCAACAAGTTGTGTTCGTGTTCCTTGTTGCTCCATTCTATTATATCCTCTTCTTTTGGCAAACCCTTATGAAATTCAACCTTCACTCCCTCGCCCCCTTAAGTCGATGATTCGATGCTGTCATACAACCGCTGCCACATAGAGTAACAGTACATTATCTTTGTCAACCTTGTGTCAAACATAGCGTGTGCGTGATCTATAAGTCTCTTCGCGAACGAACTTTTGCCAGACTGAGTTGCCCCGCTTATGAAGATTGTGTAGGGTGTTCGAAAGGGGAGTGTAGCATGGTTAACACTTTCCATGTTGTTGTTCGTATAGTGGTTAGACTCTTGTGTATACATAGCAGAAGAAGAAACAGCTTATCCTCACATTCAACGATAGTGAAGTGGTGTTTGCTGCGAACTGACACAAAACGGATACCTCCTTGCTATATATTCATAAACATAACAATCGTTTCCAGTATAGTTGTTGAGGGAAAATTGTTCAAGCATGATCTCTCTCAAACGCCACCCTCTCAACCGAAACAAGAGGTAATACACAACGTATTGTCCACAGGTTTTCCCCGAGAGACTCTGCACTCTGATGTGACTCCAAACAAGGGCTCTTCTGCTGATATGACGACGATGATGACGACGGTTATTGTTATTTATATCTTCCACAAAGTCCTGTACCTCTTTAAGTCTGTGGACTATTCCTCGATCGAACCCAAGGCTATCAAAAATGTCAATACTGTCTGTCTTCATTTACGTAAACAGCAAACCAGTGTTGACCATCCTCATGAGCTCTCTCTGTATTAACTGTAATAGCAGATGGATAATCCTCCCTCCTTGTCATACGCTGCGCTAGGTCTTTTGTTAAATGATTCAGGGCGAACACACCCAAAACGTGGTGTCTAAGTATGGGGTCGCACTGTATGATACATTCCAGTTGGTGAGTGTTCATAACTTCGTTCACCACAGCACTCCTTCTCCTCTTATAGGACAACGTTCCTGCTTTTCTCTATTTGAAAAATGTCGTCGAATTCTCCATAAACCACGCACGATATGGTCTCGGGAAGCTGTGTTGCAAACTGAGTTTCAAGTCTAAGAGTTCCTTGTTTTTGAAGGCATAGATATGTTCCATCATTGTTCTGACCGAACACCGGATCCAATGAAAAGACGTACAGTCCGTAGCCACCATGGAACTCATCCCGAGAAATGTCCACCCGATTAACCCTTTCTCCATCACCCATCATCCAACATCCAGTAGAGTGGAATAGATTGACGTAGGCTGGGATGTAGCTTCGCCCTGTTGCCACTCCAAAGCGCAGTTTCATTGGACCTGACTCACCGACAATGGTGCCATCGCAGAACAACACTATCTGCGATAAGTCCCAGTTGGCAAAGTTATAAGGATTCTTCTGGTAGTTACCCATCCCCGTAGCCTTGGAGGAGACAAACCCCGCTACAATCTTGTTTGGACGAATGCCTTGGAATATGTTATCCCACGCGAAGCTGGTTTGACCATTGACAATCGGAAACATCTTAACTTCCGTTCTTCGATAGGGGTATTTGGCTGGTGTCTTAGATAGCGCTTCATTGTGTCCCCATATGACCCCTGGGTTCACACACACTTTCATAACCTTCAGGATGATGTCATCGATTTGAACAGCATACGCAGTGTCCGTTTTGGTTGCCATGAGCAAGAATTGGGGAGTGGATCTGTACAATTTCACTTGCACGTCGACTTGGTTCAGTATGTAGCGTTTCATCTGAAAGAGGTCATGCATCAAGGGGGACTACACGTCGAACGTTTTACTCTGGGAAGTGAGTTCATACCTGCTGAACATGCCCAAATTATTCCCATTTGGGTTAGTTTCATCTAACTCTCCTGCAGTGTCCTTTGAAAAAAGTTGCGCCCCCTTCTTTGTTGTGCTGTCGTTATAATTGGTGTTCAAAAGCGTTTGAATGATGGCTTTGTAAGGATAGTGATTCGTTGTTGAGTTAATCAACCGACCTTGCAACCACACGTCTACTTGTCCGAAAAGGGAATGCAAGAAGAGATTTATTGGACCGCATTCTTCATTGCGAACCAGCTCTGAGTTGTCCACGTGAGTTATCTTACATTTGACATACAGGGATGACCTTCTGAGGTCGATGTATTCCAACCCGTTTTGTCCACTAATGTGAAATTCGATGGGTGCGGATGCAGACAGAGGTGATACTGGGCGACAATCTTGTAGATGGACCCTTTCAACAGCTGTTTGTGTTGGTGGTAGGTCGAATAAGGATAATTCGGGAGGTTGGGTTTCGGTGAAAAACTTGGGATCGTTTGTTAGCGCCGTCATATCCGATGACTTGTTATGCTCGTCTCTAGGGTTTGTTGTTTGTTCGGTTTGTCTTTTTTGAGTTGAGAAGAATGGTTTCAGTTAATACCCAAAGATGTCTTCAATGGTTCTCTTTCTCCCGGATCCACGCTTCAGCTTGTTCTTGTTCTTCTTCTTCTTCTTCTTCCCACTTGTGTTCCTACTCTTCTTCTTCTTGTTTATCACTGTGGTTGTTCGCTTTGTGAGGTGGTTTGTCCTCCTTCTTCTACTTCTCCCTTTCCCAGAGAGCGTTCGTCTTGCACTACTGCCTACGCGACGTTGTCCGCGTTTTTTGTTGATAAAGTCCATTGCGCTTGTAGAGACTGACTCGGGGTGTCGTCTGATCTCTGCCTTTGCTTAATCTACGACCTGCTCACTTGGGGTTACTATTCTTATGTCCTTTTGTGGCATGACCTCCTTGTCAGTGACGACTGTTGTTGACTTTGTAGTAGAAAAGGTAAGTGGAGGGGGCAATAAATCATGTGATGTTGGGCTTTGTTCCAATGTGATCATACTAGAAGCAGGTTTGAACCTGATTGTGTTGAGGGGGTGGACTGTTGTGGTATTGCTCCTCTTCCTTCCCTCAGCGACGTCATCATAGTATTTTCGCCACCTAGATATGTTTGGAATGTATATACCATCATCGCTTTCATCTTCTTTTCCCTGGTTTTCTATTAAACTATCTGACATGACTCCTCTCTTCGTTTTAGTTGAAGGGTATGACTAAACCAAAAAAGGGTATCGTCTCAAATGAAGTGTCAATGATGACACATCTGTTAAGAATGTGGCTGCAGTGCCGCACACATCTGTTATGTATATGTCGATCTGTTGAATAGTGTCATTGACGAGTCGAATGCTAATATCATATGGATCATCTATTTTTATATTCCACGACTGTGTGGTTGTGGAATATGTTGTTGATTTTACCCGTCGTAGAAGTGGATGCCGTTCACCATCCACAATGATTGGTTCGCATATGGAGCAATAGATGTAGAGCATGTCATCTGTTACCTTGGTCTTCCTCCTTCCTTTTGCGCGTTTAGCATAAAATTCCTTCAAAGCAACACTCCAATGACCGTCCAACTGTAGAGGTTGCTGAAGATATAGGGAAAACCTATGTGGTTGGTTGTCTGGGAAGTATAAAGCACTATTGTTGCTGTGGGCAACTATCCATTCGTCCTTCATTGTGATATGTTATCCTTTCTTTGTGACTCACTTCTTCATACAGGCGTTGTGTTGGGGTTTTTTTGTTATGTGTTGTTGACTCGGGTTTATGTGATCTCTTTCGCGTCAACCCACAAATTGAATTTCTTTGGGAAACCTACCCATTTAACAAGCGCTTGCTTGATGCCTTTCTTATTACCTCCCCCCTTCACTGTTCTGTATTTTAGAATACTCTCTATATGCCAAAGTGTTTCCTTTGTTGTTGTTTTTAAATTTGCTCAATTCGAATTGATAAAATGAACCTTGGATTGGGTCTGACTGCAGAGCTTCAACACTGTATATAGGAATGCCATCTCGTCTCTGTCGACTCGCAACTTTGAAGACCTCTTGAGTCCATTTCTCTTGGTACTCTTTTTCAAAGGCTCTCTTGCTCATGGATAGTCGCACTAGATCTCCAATCTTAAACGCATATCTCTGAACGTGTGGTAATTTTGTTTCCAGTTTTACCTCTCTCCTCACGTGGGACGGTGTTTTAATCATTGATTTTTTACTGTCGTACGTATCCAACCATATGCGAACTTCGTTCGTGTGATTAACATCGGCTGGAGTTCTCCCGTTGGGAAGTGATCTGTGTGGACGGTGGTTATAGTTGTAAACAATGTCCTGTATAATGTTCATGTATCTATACGTCCTCTTGTACATGAAATATCTGTATAGCATAGTTCTCAATGTTCTAATAAAACGTTCGGCATAGTTGGCTTTAATATCATCATTTTGTGTAACAAAGTGTTTAACATGAAACTGACTCTGAACTTTTTTCACAGCATTATTTCGGAACTCCATGCCTTTATCCGTCCTCAGCGTGAACGGCACCCTCGACCCCATATCTTTTCCGATGATTTGTTTTTTATTGGTTTGATCCATACAAATCTGGAAAAACAGTCAATGATAATAAGCAGGTATTTTACACCCTCGTTGCTACGCGCTATGTTTGACACATCGCATAAGTCAGCGTCTGCTTGTACCCCGACTCCGCTGACTATAACTCTATTTCTCTTGAATCTTCTACATGGAGCTTTGTGGAGGGTATGCGCGTCTTGCTTGTTAAGCCACTTCCTCACACGTTGCAACTTGATGTGGGGGTCCTTTCTTTTCAAAGTCTGTTCAAACTTTTGATATCCTCCAAAGGCACCTGGTTCCTTGGGGTCATAATACCTACGAGCTAATATCTGGTGAGCCATACACCTTCTCCTTCACCCCCACGGATGGTGTGTTCCTCCTCTTCACCCTCAACACACAATGATAAAGCTCTTCTTGCCAATGATCTGTTTTAAAAACCGTATCGCGATAGTCCCTGCATTCATATTTTAAATAATACAACGGTGATGTGGCGCGCAGACTAGGGATGATACTTATGTAGTCTCTCCACTTGGTCATAACGGATTCTTCGTCTATAGAGACTAGTGCTTGCCCGACTGATTCACGTGACGTTGATTTCAAGTCTTGGAAAATGGTGTGGGCATAGGCCAACGTCAATAGATGATGTAGTATTCGCGCAATAAGAACCGAATCCATTTCGTGGATGTGGTATATGTTCGTACTTTGCGTAGAACGTGGGTGGTGATTGAAGTTTGTTTAATGCGGTGTTGGTGATGTTATTATAATTCTATTTCATCCCCGTATATCGTTGTCTGTGTGTGGTGATATACACACCACACTCCACAAATATTCAAACCTTTGTTGTACCCTCCCAAATGTGTAAGTGACTCATGGTTGTGATTGGGAAACCCCAACTGGATAATAGCCGTGAATAATTGACACAACAGCTATACAATATTTTGTATACATATCACCCTGGGAACGTCATTACTCACAGTAGGTGACAATACCACAATATTCAGACATCATTTCGTTGTAACCTCCCAATGTGTTAGTGACTCGTGGTTGTGAATGGGGAACACCATCTGGATAATAGTCGTGAATAATTGCACAACAGCTATACAATATTTGTATACATGTCACCCTGGGAACGGGTGTCAATAGCACTGAAAACACCCCAATGTGTTAGTGACTCGCGGTTGTACCCCAATGCGTTAGTGGGGGTGATTACAAAAGCGATTTGAAACCTACAGTGATTAATGACGTTCCCAAGGTGATATATATGTATACAAATATTGTATAGTTATTGTGCAATTATTTCGCGTGATTTGTCTCGACTTGTTGGGGGTAGTAAATCCTATGTTAATCTCCATTGGAAAATGTCCTGCAAAAGGCCTGCTTACCACTACTGTCAGGAAACGTGAAATGTCGAACCCTTCCACATTGTGATACAGAATCGTGCTGCAGATTCGTCCAACCACCGAGGTGTCTTAGTATAAAACTAAATGAAGTAGTTCTAACCCATAGGCAATCAAAACATAAGGCAGACATCAAGTTCAGACTTATATTCCGGAAAATAAAGGGAAGCAGCAACTGCATGGGACCGTCCCCTATCTGCTTTGTTGGGCTTGAAACAACTGTTTGCGAGAAACAAGGTACAGGCCGTGGACGTCCTTGACTGAGAGGTCCCAAAGGTAGTGGAAGGAGAAGACTGAGTCCTTCCGTAATGGCGTGGAGAGAGCAGTTACTATGCAGAGCCATCGTAGATGCTAACGCCTGTGTCTCATGTGGATTGTAAGCTGTCGGGGCTGGTGACCAAATGAAGTTGTAAGCCCGTAGGATGGTGGCTCTCATTCAGAAGGATAATGTGGTGCGAGACTCTTCCGCCCTGGATGTTGAGGACAACGGAATGAAGCGCCGCTTGCGGAGACGGCAGTGATCTTTAGAAGCAGCAAGAAAAATCTACAAATCCCTAACAGGGCAAAGCTGCAGTTCTTCATTGTTATGCGGCCCAAGGGTCGTGGACAACAGTGGGATGGTAAAAGTACGATCGGGTTGTCCTGGCAACTGATTCTTGCTACGAAATCCCAACGGAGACAAAGGAAGACTCTCCCGTTCGAACTGGACTCTGTTCAGAAATCCGAGCAGCTGTAGCCAAGGTTACAAGGAAAACGGTCTTGAAGGAGATCTTCTCAAAGTCCTTCTGAGCTAAGGGTTCATAGTTCGCCAAGGCCAAATGACGCAGCACCACAGATAAATCCAATGCAGGAGATCTAAACGTCTTAGACTGATCGGTCAACTTGAAAGACCGGAGTAAAAACTGAAGCTGAGGAACCATCGAAACTTTAGAGCTTGTGGTTGTACCCAGGACCGAGTTGATCGCAAGCGTAAGCATTGAGCCCTTCCCACAAAATCGCCAAAGCATCGAGATCCCCTGCTGGTTGGTCTGGTATCAGCGAGACAAACTTCTGGAGCTAAAGGTTGAACCGCGTGGAGGATAGTTCGACTTGGTGCCTTGATAACGGGAAGACCAGTTCCTGAAAGGTCTGTAGGTTTAATTGCCACTCTGTGGGAGACGGCCGATCAGAGCAGGACAGCGCATCTGGGATGACATTCCTGACTCCGTGAATGTGTCTGGCTTGGGCATCGATAGGGAGGGAGTCGATTAGATGGAAGAACTGATGCGCCACCTGAAGAAGGTTCGCCAAACCTGTCAACCCGAGATGGTTGATGTACCAGACGACCGTTGAGTTGTCTGTCTGAATCAGCAGGGAAGACCCCCGAAGTCCATCGCCCAATATCGAATGGCGAGAAGAACCAAGAACTTGAGTTCAATGATGTGCAAGTCCCGTTCTGCGGACGACCATAGCCCGGCCGTCTGATGATGAAGAAAGTTAGCCCCCCCGACACGTGAGGGATTTCGCGAGGAACAATGATGAGCCGACATGAAGGACAACATTCTGCTCGTCTAGCACGGCTGAAGCTGAAGCTACCCTCTGGTAGTTGGGGCTTGAGCTGACGTCAGAAACCCTAGCAGCTGCCACTGAGATAGCACGCTGGAGGAATGCATTGAGGGGTCATGATGCACCTGCATCTTGAAGGGGTCATAATGCACCGATGCATCGATGAAGTGGAGTCTCTGGATCGATGTTAGCTTCATTACAGCATGTACACTAGCCATCCTAACTGCCAGAGCAGCATGGTGGTGAACTACAGTTAGCGGCGAAGTACTATCAGATCCTGTAGTGCCTGGATGCAATCATCAATGTAGCTTCGAAGATGAAGTTGACTTTTGTAAGTGAAGGCTTGAGCTTAGGTGAGGAGACCCAGCAACTCTTGCCACTGATGAAGGGATATCTCCTGATAGATTGCTGAATGTAGTAGATTAAGCGCATGGAGATTCTCAGTCAATATACAGGAACATGTACATTGTAAACAGGTGATGAAGGTCGTGCGATCGGCGATCTGTGGAACATTAGTTCACCAAATGAAGTGTTGGTCCGCTGGATGGAGTGATAAATGTAGTAGACTAGATGCATGGGGATCGTGAATCTACCGGAACGTTCACAAAGTTGTTGAAATGATGAAGGTAAAAGAAGACCGGCGACCACGGGAATGTTCATTGGGAAGACGAAGGCAGTAAACAGGTGCCTGGGGACTGCAGTGACCTCTGAACGGAGGGTTTGGGCTAAAGTAGAAAACCCGAGTAACCCAAGTTGAAGTGTTCTGCGACGTTTCTGTCTAACACTCTCGGTAAGCTGTCTCTCTCGGCTGGCTGACGAATCCTGACTAATCACTCTTACCAGGAATACACCGTTCATCGGCACTGGCGATTAAAAGCTGGGGTTATTATCCCCTGTGTAGGACCAAGACAATTCTGTCAGTGCACTTCATAGTCACTTTCAACATCACAATTCTCCGGTAAACAAACAGTAGTCCGCCATTTCCAATTGTTACCCTCAATGCAACAGTGACAAAAATCGGACAACACGGGCTTCCGTCACAGCCCATAAAAACAAGTAAACGGGATGCTCGCTACTTGACAAGACATCACTGCTGGTACCATGTGCAGAAACTTGACCCATCTGTCCAGAAGCTTGCTGGTGATGGAAGGGTGAGGAAGATGACGAATCAGGAGGCCATGATTGCATCCCGAGATACACCATGACGCTGTTACGAGTTGTCTGTAGCAATATCTTTTAAATTATTGCAATATATCGCAATATGAAAATAAGACCAATATCCATCCCTAGGTAATATATAAGATGAGTTGCCCAAAAGGTCTACTGATAATATATGAGATGTGTGTTGCCAAAGTTGTACTGATAATGTATGATGTGTTGCCCAAAGATCTACTGATTGTATGATGTGTTGCCCTAAAATCTACTGGTCATATATAAGACGTGTTGTCCAATAGTCTACTGATAATATATATGATGTGTTGCCCAAAGATCTACAGATTGTATGATGTGTTGCCCAAAGGTCTAATGGTAATACATATGAGGTGTTGCCCAAAGGTCTACTGATCATATGATGTGTTGCCCACAGGTCTACTGATAATACACGAGGTGTCTCCCAAATGTCTACTGGTATTATATTACAGAAGTACATGGGTCATTGGCTACGTCCGTTTACAGTGAAGAAACAGCAAGGGTACTTATTCAACGAGGGTATGTTTTCAATACGTGACCCGGGTTATTTTTCAATGGTAATAATTCAACGTTGAAAAAGTACCCGTCGGGTACCTTTTCAGCGCGGATCTGTTTTCAATCTTACACCGCCATATCGCCGAAAGTTAGTGAGAGCCCAAAAGTATTGTTATGGCGAACACTTATTGCTATGTATATTTGAAAAAAAAGAGTACAAAACGTAATAGCAAATATCTAGACAATAATTTCTTGGTTATTACTGAACACAATATCCAGGTTTTCGAGAATTTTATAGAAAACCCCGTGTCGCCGAAAGGTCGCAGACGTTATGCACGATATGTTTGTTCTTTCAATAACAGCACTGAAGTTTTATGAAAATACAAAAGAAGCACAGCCGAAGGTCCTGAGACTGCCTTCTATCCAATCATCCACTTTGGGATAACTATGAAAGAAAATTAACATAGTTGTGACATGCAGATATTTAGGCGGCAGAAATATATCCTAAGCTGTCGCCTAAAGGTCGCACAAATGTCGCCTAACGCCCTTTCCAGAAAAAATATTCGTGTGTTTTGTATTATTTTCTCCTAACGCTAAATTGATGTCAAACGGATATTCGTATTGTCCACATTAAGATACACGATAAAACTATCTAATTGTTTAATATCTATTCAGGGCATTATTTAAATTGTAAAAACAGTTTATTTTCTGTCGAAAGAGTGGCAAATTTGGACCGTGAGACCTAGATATTTTGTTTTTTTACAATCACGGAAATATATAGATATTAGAGAGGTTGAGCAGCGCTACGTGTACACGTACGCCTACGTGTGATAAGGGGATTCCCCTGAATGCCTGTGTATTACGTCATCACTATTTGCTGACCTGTCATCCTACAAGTTCCCTCTGACGCCTACTTCGAAGGATACACGTGAAAACTTGTGAGCTTGTTTTAAACAAACAAGCTGAATAGACTGTTGTATTGTCAAGATAGTGTGTTAAAATAAGTATCAAGGTATCATCCAGTAATAAATTAGTGACCATTTTCTGTGAAATATAACGCGTTTTTTGCAGCCGTCTAGACACGAGAGTTAACCTATCGCTAAAGGAAGGTCATCATTAGAATCGTTGATATTAATTATTTATCATGAGAGTATGTTCCAGACATGTGTCTTTATGAATAATTTCGTATTTCAGTATGGCACAACGCAAAACGCAAGTCAGGTTTTCTGAAAAAGACGATGTCAAATTGCCGAGGGAAGTGTTGGCTGCCAACCCGTTCAAAGACAAGGGAAAATGGCAAACAGCAGCAGACAACTTGACAAGTACACGGTCAGACTTCAAAGTCGATGCTAGGCGAGTTAGGGAGAGGACGCACTTGATGTTAGACCACTTATGCAAAGTAACAATGGTTTATCGATGTTTTTGTTGTTTTCTTGACATGTAGGGTCTTTAATATGTATTTGTGTTCTCTAAATCCAGATCACTCGGATGAGACAACCCCTACTAAGAGGAGAAGTAGTACCAGCGTACTAGACTACCTCAATACTAAGTCAGAGCAGGAGGCAGAGCTGAGAAGACAAGAACTGGATATGAGGAAGGAGGAACAGAAACTTGAGAGAAAAGATTTGAGCAGGAGAGAGAAGAGCTGGGAGACAGAGCATGGAGCTGAGGGGAGAGAGAAAGCTGGAGAAAGACAGAGTTGTTTGAACAGAGAATAGAGCTGGAAAAAGATTATTAACAACAGAATTATTAAGAATGAAATGTACTACACATTCAAGAGAATGATTGTGTAACATGAACTGTACATGTAACAGATTTGCATTGAATAAATATACAAATACATTGGAATATAGTTATCTTTACAATCAATATTTCACTACCAAGGGCATAGCTAGCGTATTCGCAAAAGGAAATTGCCTACACATAATTGCTGTAACATTGAAAGCACTTTGTCTTCATTTCTGGTGTCTCCCGCCGTGATATTGCTGGAATATTGCTTAAAGCGGCGTAAAACCATACCCACTCACTCATGAAAGCACAGGTCTCAAACAGTTATAATCTAGTTTAGGTGCGCATGTATTCTTGAAGTGATGGTGGATCGAGCTAAAGGAAAATGCTAGTTTCAATTCCATACAGGCAAGTGTGGCAGTTTGTAAGGATAGCAGCAACTTTGTAATATTTACCAACTGGCTGCAAATACAGTTTTTGGTTCTTCTTGAAATCTAGAAATGCAAATAGTGTGAGCAATTTGCCCAACGTCCACTCAACACAAACTCTGACGGCTGACATATTCTTGTTGAATAGAGCTTGATTAGCTGTCATCACGCCTCCTCTGTGTGGCGCTATTATGCAAGGTGAAATACGCTGGGTCACCATATACACAAAACACATCATTGTTTCGAGTTGTCATTATTCTCTGACATGTCCTTTTCAACCTCGCTTTCTCTCAACATACCAGCATCATGGCGTCGGCCTTCAATGGGGCCATAAAAATGGGCTATCATTCCATTGGGTGTTACTATACTCTGGTACTTCAAACCATGTACACGTTTATGTCCATTGAAAACGAGTTTTTGGTTTTGTTGAGGCCGGCATATCGGTCGCACAGTACCATCAATAAACCCCCAGCAGTTAGTGAGAGGTGAAACTTGGTAATGAATGGATCGAGACATATCTTCTAGATGACCATGTGATAGCCAAGGTTTGTCCAGATTGTCTAGTAAATGACTGTGCATGTTATAAATGTAATTTAAAACAGTATTAAAAATGTGCGACAATTCTGAAGTCGATCTGCCAAAAAAAGTGCTTTAAGTCTTCAAGCCGATTTGGATAAGAGAGTCTTCTAAGGAGAATGCACAGACCATCAATGCCTGAACAAGTTGTACGATTCGAGCAGTGGAATTCGTCAGGTAGCAGTAGGGTTTCTTTAAGTGTGAATAAATCTTCTCTAGTAAATCTGAAGCACTTACGGCACTGATCGTCACTGAGTTCATGTAATTTGATATATCTGTCGGACAAAGTATCACCTCCTTTCAAAGCAGAAAGCAACAAAATATCATCGTTATCTTCCACGGCAGCCAAAAGATTTATATTTGCCGCCATTACTAACTAAATTCACACGATTGTAAGCGTGTTACAGACTTGTTTAAGTCGGAAAATTTGACCAATCAAAAGTCGATTTACATATACCAGCACATGTACCCGTACACGTAAGATTTACTCACGGTCACTAAAGTTTGGTAGCGTGTACGCGTACGTGTACGTGTAAGCTACACGTAGGCGTACATGTACACGTAGCGCTGCTCAACCGCTCTACTAATGAACATACCAATGTCCTCGTTCTCCGACATTGCAAAATACATAAAACAAGCATGGTGCAGTTTTTACAGTAACTTCCTTATATTTGAAGATACTATCAAATGTGAGAATTAGACACCGGGTGTCTTCCTTTTTTCATATCAGAATGTAGTAGCTATATATATTAGTTCATTTATTTTTCTACATGACAATAGCTGTTTCAATCGGCACGTTAAGAGAAAGTTATTGAAATAATTTTTTTAAGTAGTCACTTATTCGTAATACTCGAACAACACCGCTCCAACATTGTTGCACTTTTGTATCTGATGAATGAATCCAAGCGGATCCGTGTGCTATTAATTATATCTAGTGTGTAACGTCACAACAACCTCGCAGAGGTGAGGGGCGGTGGAAATAATATGACGTCATCAGCAGTGTGACGTCACTGTACATTTGGCGCCACGTCCTTTGGCGAACCTCGGCTCAGTCTGAGGTCACAGAGTGCAGCGAGATGTAAACAAACAGTTTGTTGTGTGTCTGTTTCACGATTAATGAGAAAAGTATCACACAAATTAAAACAGAACTACATGACGAGATGCAGGGTTCATATACCAACGATATATCATCAATATTTACAGGCAACAATATCCTTACCTGATCATGTAAAGTTCCATAAACAACAAAATGTCTGAAAATGTTCTCAACAAGTTTTATTTCTCCTCAAACACAACAAATATTCTCACCTTCATACTGAATTATAAACAACGCGACGACGTGAACGGCACACACCACGTCAATGTCAGTAACGACATGTTCTCCATCACTGTCTACATCAACACTACATTCACTTCACTGTGTACCACGTGACACCAGGAGATCCGACAGTTGATGATGTGGCCTGCCTCTCGCCACGTCGGCCGCTGTCTGCCCGTTGTTGTTCCTGACGTTGATGTCCACCCCGTCCAGAGACAGGACAAACTCCACCGTCTTCCTGTCTCCTCCCAGACAAGCCCAGTGAAGGATCTTGTTACCGTCATCGTCCACCAGTGACACATCAGCATCTTGACTCACAAGGAGCTTCACCACATCCCTGTGTCCCCGCCATGCTGCCCACACCACCGGTGTCCATCTCCTCTCTCCTCTACTGTTGATGTCCATCCCGTCCAGAGACAGGACAAACTCCACTGTCTTCCTGTCTCCTCCCATACAGGCCCAATGAAGGATGTTGTTACCCATATCGTCCACCAGTGACACATCATCACCTCGACTCACTAGGTGCTCCACCACATCCCTGTGTCCCCCCAGTGCTGCCCAGATCACCGGTGTCATCCCGACCTCACCTCTACAGTTGATGTTAGTCCAACCTGTGTCCAGGATCCGCTTCACCTCCGCCAGCTTCCCCTCCCTGCAGGCGTCACGGAGGTCGTCGTCTGCCTGGGCGTCTCTTTGTGCGGGTGTAGGTGTTGCTGTAACACAAAGTAAACTCTGTACACAGGTCGGACATCTTCATCTTACAGCTACATTGTTCACATCTTACACTGATGATACAAAACACTCGATACATCATCTATAGATGCAGCATGGCTGACAGCAACATGGCGGGTGTACAGGGAATCACAAGAACTGACAGCAACATGGCGGGTGTACAGGGAATCACAAGAACTGACAGCAACATGGCTGGTGTACAGGGAATCACAAGAACTGACAGCAACATGGCGGGTGTACAGGGAATCACAAGAACTGACAGCAACATGGCGGGTGTACAGGGAATCACAAGAACTGACAGCAACATGGCGGGTGTACAGGGATCACAAGAACTAGTTGATGTTTTCACACATTAGTCATTTACATGATTAGAATGTCATCTAACAGTTCTAACACAGTTCTGTGTGTGTGTGGAGAGTGGTCTGCCCACTACAACACACGTGACATTGTCTTCACCCACCTCGTGTGTCAGGTCTGGAAGGGGTCCCAGACATCGGTGTGTCCCCCTCTCCGCTCGTGGCTGTGGAGACAAACAGGAGGGTTAGAATAAACACTGTGTTCATCAGTCTATAAGTGTGGTCACTGATGCAAGTATTGAATGTATTCTGACATTATATACATTGAATGTATTCTGACATTATATACATTGAATGTATTCTGACATTATATACATTAAATGTATTCTGACATTATATACATTGAATGTATTCTGACATTATATACATTGAATGTATTCTGACATTATATACATTGAATGTATTCTGACATTATATACATTGAATGTATTCTGACATTATATACATTGAACGTATTCTGACATTATATACATTGAATGTATTCTGACATCATATACATTGAATGTATTCTGACATTATATACATTGAACGTATTCTGATATTATATACATTGAATGCATTCTGACATTATATATATTAAATGTATTCTGACATTATATACATTGAATGTATTCTGACATTCTATACATTGAACGTATTCTGATATTATTACATTGAATGTATTCTGACATTATATACAAAGGGTATTGTGCTGATTAGGTGTATCCCCGCTGATGTTAGATTACAGAGGACAGAAAGATGTATATCAACTACCTCATTGTAAAGAATATATTCTATATGAAGTGATAATTTCACAAATGATAAATCTCTTCACTAGATGACACAAAGGTTTGTTTCTGAAACAGAAAAAGCTTTCTTACACATCTGATGAGCTGACAATATATCATGCATAGTATTATTGTATACACAATGCGACTAGCACATCTGGTCCACAATATTCCCCCACCTACCGTGTACATCAGACTCCTGTGAAGACCCAGGTATCAGTGCTATCCCCTCGCTCCAGGCTGCAACACAGAACATGTTATGGAGAATACTTCAACACAGAAAATGTCATGTAGAATACTTCAACACAGAATGTGTCATGTAGAATACTTCAACACAGAACATGTCATGTAGAATACTTCAACACAGAACATGTCATGTAGAATACTTCAACACAGAATATGTCATGTAGAATACTTCAACACAGAACATGTCATGTAGAATACTTCAACACAGAATATGTCAAGTAAGTGGGGCAACTAAGAAAATCATTCTAACAAATTCACCTTAGATAACAACATATACATAAAAGCGTAACACTACCCACCACTATCGGCCTGGTTGGATCCCCGCAGCGTCTCTCGCCTCCCGCACTCTATCTGTGTTTCCGAGACAGGTGCTGAAAATAACAATATAATATGTTGATTTATGTGTATGGTATTTCTTTCCACCCATTCAGATGGAAGTCTGTTCCTGCAATCTCCAAAATGACGCACTGGAGGAATGGAAGTGTCTGGGTTCGAGTCTGGCAGAAGGGGGTTCGTGAGCTCAAATGGCTTGGACTTTATACACTTATCATATTACTGTCGTATTTTCTAAATAATGCAAATAATGAAAATGCTGCATACGCAGTCATTGTGAAGCTCACCCAGTGTTTGCTTCCATCAGTGCTATTATTTGAAAACTAGGGCGAATGTTCAAACTGACTGACATGGTTTACTATGATCAAGCCTAGAAACCGGATCTCAAAGTTATTCATAAACACGCACACCTGTACATCAATATTGGACAATTACCCGTAAATAGGAGTCACCTAGTCGCGTGTTGTAACCTCATCAGTGACAGCCTTCGAGACCACATTTCAAACAGACAGTGTTTCTCGTTTACTGACGAAAACCTTTAGGAAATATTGGTCAGACAGAACTGTGTATACTAAAATTGCCTCGATTGTCGAGAACTAGATCTCCACACTCGTGTCAATATTTCCTCATACCATGAAATCAATAGTTCACTGGGTTTTTTTCCGTCAGTAACAACAATAAATCAAGGAAACACAGAACAAGTTGGTAAATTGTAAGTGCTGTCGTCAATCATGATGGACCCATCCATACTTACATACAGTGAGTGAGTTGAGTTTTACGCCATACTCAGCAATATTCCAGCTATATGGCGGCGGTCTGTAGATAATCGAGTCTGGACCCGACAATCCAGTTATCAATAGCTTGAGCATCGATCAGCGCAATTGGGAACGGATTACATGTGTCAACCAAGTCAGCGAGCATGACCACCCTCAGTCGCCTCTTACGACAAGCACAGGTTACTGCAGGCTAATATTCTAACCCGGACCTTCACGGGTCACTTACATACAACCTGTACACTGTTTACACATACGTGTATAGTGTAATACATACATATGTACACACATTATCAACATATACGTGTATAGTGTAATACATACATATGTACACACATAATCAACACATACGTGTATAGTGTAATACATACATATGTACACACATAATCAACACATACGTGTATAGTGTAATACATACATATGTACATAATCAACACATACATAATGTCGACAAACTGTCGCAAATAAAGATTACAACACAAACAGGAAGAGTTGAAACCTGATGTCTGGTTTGTCAAATGTTGGAGATATTTACATGTGTTTGGTCCCGGTGTCCGTATGAAACAAGTACCTGCTGCCTTATCCCTACAGTAGTCGTTGTCTATCTTGCTCTGTTCACAACCTTATCTATTTCCCTTATAGTTCTAAAAGTATGATAAACAAACTTACCCCACTACTGTCCTCACACAACAGACACATCTCACTGCCAGCCTGGAAATGCCCTGACTAGCGACACTAGTCACGCCAAGGGGCCAGCTATGACGTCATTGTGACGTGGCTTATTGGAAGCATGGAAGCTTATTGGAAGCTCACTTGCTTATTCAGACCCGTGTCAGTTATATTCGCACACTGGACGTAACTTCCATACACTTACATGTTAATTTAGTGTAGCATAAATAATTTTCATGAATTTAATTTTCGTATGATCCAAGACAAATTTTGCACATTTGTGAGGAACCATCTTACCTACAATCACATAATTTCAGTTTAATTTTCCGTTGCTTATCTATCGAATGGCAACAATTTAATCAACATATGTAAACAACAGGTGAACAAAAATGTTTAACATATCTTTTGGTTGTGAGTAGGATATTGTTAAGGGAGGTAATTCTATTTGCCCACTTGACATCAGCTGTTGCCGGGAGAAGCTATGGTTTGGCAGTCATAACATGATGTAACGTCGGTGCCGAGAAAGCTACCGTCGTAATGCCTATGCAGACTGTTGAAACAATTGTCTTGTGATTGAAAAGAACATTTTTCACTGAGGTCTGTGCCAAAAATGATATTGTTATACTATTAATCGGCATTACACACCGATTCATGTAGCTGACTTGTCGTGATTCACATGTAACTGTCGGTAAACACAACTCTTGTGCCATTTGACTGAAAACATGACATTCCTACCGTTAGAGGTACCTGACGAGTAGTGATAGAGGTACCTGACGAGTCGTGATAGAGGTATCTGACGAGTCGTGATAGAGGTATCTGACGAGTCGTGATAGAGGTATCTGACGAGTCGTGATAGAGGTACCTGACGAGTCGTGATATAGGTATCTGACGAGACGTGATGCACATTTTTTATGCACTGTGGGTAGACACCATTTCCATTTAAATATGAACAGCAGACAAATTGAAATGTTGACACAAGGCCCCGTACTCTGTATTTCTATAGCGTTTATTTATATCCATAACGCTCTTTCTCTCACGCTGTCGCAACTGAACTTGTGAAGTCACAACAAGTAAGATACTTCTGTAGTCTGTATCAGTATCCATTACACTGTTACTCTCCGGCTGAATGCATACTAATTCAGACTTGAGCTCGTCACTATATGGCTGGAAAATTGCCGTTGTACACATTTTAAGTGCAAAGTCCAAATGAGTTTTATGTTAAAAACATATATATTCACTGCATTAATATTTTAAAACAGGAAATGTCATAGCAACAAATTCAAAAGCAAGCAGTTCGTTATTTACATTACATAACTACAATTTATGATACAGATCAACTTCCCTCAGGTAGTTAACAATGAGATGCCCGCTCACGCGGGAAAACAGATCTTTCAGATTTGTGGCATCATAATGGGCATCACGTGCAGTTGAAAATTCTGCACAGTCAAGCAGAATACATGGTGGTGAACACTTCATCGCAAGAGACACACATGGGAGGTCCATCCCCATCTGTGTTCAGCAGATAGTCATGAGTAAACCGACTGTGGCCAATACGACATCGTCGTAAAATTACCTCATCACGTCATTGGTAGTCATTGGACACGTAATTTCGGAGATAATTGCTTTGGAAATTGAAATTTTTGAATTAATTTTGAATTATCTGCCCTTTGCTATTGGGCATAGAGCCTTGAGATTTTTGCAGAAACAACTTCAGCAGTGTCGGCACCTTGTTGATTTTTTCAAGCGATTATGCCTTGCGGCAAGGAGCCTTAAAAATCGTAGCACAGTGCTTTTATCGGTGCAAGAGAAAAGGCGGAGACATTTACTGTTTTTTAACGTATAACACAATTTTGGAAAACATTTAGCAGTGTCCATTTCTCAACCGCCCAGGTAGTTGCACTTATATTTATACCACCGGATAGGAAATTTAATAGTCTACATTTCTGTGTAATTTTATAGCCGTACGGAGATCCAGGACCACGCGAGCGCAGTTCTCGCACAACGCTCACTTTTCAAACCTTACGAAACTGTGCGCCTGAAAAAACCCTCGATATCCAGGGGGTTAACATGGCGACCTATGGGATTGTGCATTGTGGAACTATACGTAAGTTGATAACTGTGATGTCATTAGTTAAATAGTGGTCGGAAAATTGAACTGAAATTATGTGCGCACAGCAGAGATGATTTCAAATTGGCCTGTCAAATTTTACAAAGATCTATCCTGAACTCACTTCATGAAAATTATTTATTCTACACTGAAATAACATGTAAGTCTATGGAAATTACGTAAAGTGTCCGAATATATAGAGTCCGTTATGTAAGCCGTTCACCCTCCATACTACAACACCCCTCCCCCCATTCAGCCAAGCCTCCCTATTTTATGCAGTGAAGTGGAATCTACTCGACTTACAGACGCAGTCAGCGTTAACATGAATGTTTATTTTGAGTTGTTGCCTCGTTTTGGGTTTTTTCTTAGATTTTGTTTTGGTGCTGTTTTGTTTGGGTTTGGTATTGTTGTTTTCAGTGTGTGTGGGGTTGTGGGTGTGTGTGTGAGTGTGTGTGTTGTTTGTTAATGGCAACGCTGCCCTAATTTTTGACTTTTAGAAAACAACGGTACGCTTGAATAAAATTAATAAAGCATGTTGTGGTGTGCATTTAATTGCCCTTTGAGGTCTACTTGTTAGGTCGGGACCAAACCAATATGTCACAAACGCAATAGCACTGCGGCAGAAACCAGAAATGTGTTTCCCTCATAGTACCCATATGAGGAATCGAACCCGAGGCTTCATCGAGACAATCGAATACTCGAAACACTTGGCTACCCGACTGTCACGCGCCACACCGTTAATTGTGACAGTACGAGCATGGACACAATGCAAACTACTGCCTTGGGCTTACTGCATCTGTCAGCAAGGACGTGAAATACTGAATGGAAGCAACGCCTGGAGCTTACAGCATGGTGTCGTCCTGGACGTGAAATACTGAATGGAAACAACGCTTGGAGCTTACTGCATCTGTCAGCAAGGACGTGAAATACTGAATGGAAACAACGCCTGGGCTTACTGCATCTGTCGGCAAGGACGTGAAATACTGAATGGAAGCAACGCCTGGAGCTTACAGCATGTGTCGTCCTGGACGTGAAATACTGAATGGAAACAACGCTTGGAGCTTACTGTATCTGTCGGGAAGGACGTGAAATACTGAATGGAAACAACGCCTGGGCCTACTGCATCTGTCGGCAAGGACGTGAAATACTGAATGGAAGCAACGCCTGGAGCTTACAGCATGTGTCGTCCTGGACGTGAAATACTGAATGGAAACAACGCTTGGAGCTTACTGCATCTGTCGGGAAGGACGTGAAATACTGAATGGAAACAACGCCTGGGCTTACTGCATCTGTCGGCAAGGACGTGAAATACTGAATGGAAGCAACGCCTGGAGCTTACAGCATGTGTCGTCCTGGACGTGAAATACTGAATGGAAACAACGCTTGAGCTTACTGCATCTGTCGGGAAGGACGTGAAATACTGAATGGAAGCAACGCCTGAGCTACAGCATGTGTCGTCCTGGACGAAATACTGAATGGAAACAACGCTGGAGCTTACTGTATCTGTC